GGGGTGTGAGTGGGTGTGAGCGCATGTGTGGGGTTTGTGGGAGTGTGTGGGGTTCTGAGGGTATGTGAGGGAATGTGTGGGGTTATGATGTGAAGTGAGGGGGTGTGAGGGGATGTGAGGGAATGTGTGTGGGATGTGGGGGTGTGCAGGAATGTGATGGGGTGTGAGTGGGTGTGAGTGGGTGTGAGGGCATGTGTTGCGGTGTGTGAGTGTTAAGGGGTGTGAGGGAATGTGAGGGGATGTGAGGGGATGCGTGGGGTTATGATGTGAAGTGAGGGGGTGTGAGGGGATGTATTGGGGTATGTGGTGATGTGAGGAGGTGTGAGGGGATATGTGGGGGCGTGAGAGGATGTCTGGGGGTGTGAGGGGTTGTGAGGGGTTGTGAGGTGATGTGAGGGGCTGTGAGATCATGTGTGCGGGTGTGAGGTCATGTAAGGGGGTGTGAGGGGATGTGTTGGGGTGTGAGGTGATGTGAGGGGATGTGTAGGTTTGTGAGGGGATGTGATGGTGAGTGAGGGGATGTGTGGTGGTGTGTAGGGATGTGTGGGGGTGTGAGGGTGTGTGGGGGGATGTGTGGGGGTGTGAGACACATTTGTGTTTGGAAATGATATTGTGGGAAACAGTTTGGAGCGTGACGTGAACATCTCTTTCTCTGTGATAGTAACCGCCCCCATGGACCTTGTTCTTCTTTCATCAAACAAATTCTTATGTTCACTCACTAAGACATCAACAACAAATCACATTTATAGAGCCCCTTTCACGTCGGGAGGACATCCCAAAGAGCTGAGGATGGTGGTGATGGGGTTGGGCGAGGGTGGGTTGATGGGGTCGGGCGAGGGTGGGAGTGATGGGGTCGGGCGAGGGTGGGGGTGATGGGGTGATGTGATGTGGTCCACGGTGTCAAAGGCGGCGGAGAGGGCGAGGAGGATGAGGAGGCAGAGGGAGCCCTAGTCACACATGGTCAGGATGCCATTGTGACCTTGACCAGAGCAGTTTCCATGCTGTGGGCAGCACAGAAACCCGATTGGAGGGGTTCATGGAGAGAGTGAGAGGAGAGGAAAGAGCGAAGCATGGAGGCAACGGCTCTCTCAAGGACCTTGGATAGGAAAGGGAGGTTTGAGATGGGCCGGGAGCTGGACAGCTGTGATGGGTCAAGGGAAGGTTTCTTCAAGGTGGGGGTGATAGTGGCTGTTTTGAGGGGGGAAGGAACAGTGCCAGATGACAGGGAGAGGTTAATAATGTCGGCGAGTAGTGGGGCAAGGAGGGGGAGCATTCAGAGAACGCAACATTCAGAATGAAATCAAGCACCTTTGCTGACTGACTCACTTACTGATTGACTTCACTTACTGACTGACTTACTTACTGACTGTGTGATTCACTTACTGACTGACTGACTCACTTACTGACTGACTCACTGAGTGACTCACTTACTGACTGACTCACTGACTGACTGATTGATTCACTTACTGACTGACTAACTGACTCATTTACTGACTTACTTAAAGAGTCATTGTCTTTATTGCCCTCTGTGGGACATTTTGTCCAAATTGGTCATCCTGTTTATGTTAAACTTCGCAATCATGAATTGCACTTTTAAAAAAATGTGAGATAATAATAATAATAATAATCCTTGCATTTGTTTTGACTTGAAAAGATGTTTAATAAAAATAATAATCCTTGCATTTGATATAGCGCTGTTCACGTCGGGAGGACGTCCCAAAGCGCTTCACAGAACACACTGTAAAGTGAATTGACTGTATATTTGTGGGCGAACGCGGCAGCCAATTGCGCACAGCAATGTCCCACACACAGTCGTGGATTGAAAATGACCAATTTATTATTGTTTGTGGTTTTGGAGGGATTATTATTAGGCTCTGTGTGGAGTAAGGAAACTTGCCCGAGGTTTCGCCCTCTGCCTGGAATTGAACACAGGTCTCTCACTTGCAAAGCGAGTGCTCTAACCACTGAGCTACAGGACTCCATGTTTGTGTTGATGTCTGTGTTGTTGTTTGTGTTGGTGTTGGGGCTGGTGTCTGTGTTGATGGCTGTATTGGTGGCGGGGCTGGTGTTTGTGTTGGTCTTTGTGTTGGTGTTAGTGTTGGTGTCTGTGATGGTGTCTGTGTTGGTGTCTGTGTTGCTGTACGTGTTGGTGTTTGTGTTGGTGTTTGTATCTGTGCTGGTGTTTGTGTTGTTGTTTGTGTTGGTGCTTCTGTTGGTGTTGGTGTTGGTTTTGGTGTTGGTGTTGGTATTGGTATTGGTGTTGGTGTTTGTGTTGGTGTTGGTGTTGGTGTTGGTGTTGGTGTTTGTGTTGGTGTTGGTGTTTGTGTCTGTGTTGGTGTTTGTGTTGTTTTTTGTGTTGGTGTTTGTGTTGGTGTTTGTGTTGGTGTTTGTGTTAGTGTTTGTATCTGTGTTGGTGTTTGTGTTTGTGTTGGTGTTTGTATCCGTTCTGATGTTTGTGTTGGTGTTTGTGTTGGTGTTTGTATCCGTGCTGGTGTTTGTGTTGGTGTTTGTATCTGTGTTGGTGTTTGTGTTTGTGTTAGTGTTTGTATCTGTGTTGGTGTTTGTGTTTGTGTTGGTGTTTGTATCCGTGCTGGTGTTTGTGTTGGTGTTTGTGTTGGTGTTTGTGTTGGTGTTTGTGTTAGTGTTTGTATCTGTGTTGGTGTTTGTGTTTGTGTTGGTGTTTGTATCCGTGCTGGTGTTTGTGTTGGTGTTTGTGTTGGTGTTTGTATCCGTGCTGGTGTTTGTGTTGGTGTTTGTGTTAGTGTTTGTATCTGTGTTGGTGTTTGTGTTTGTGTTGGTGTTTGTATCCGTGCTGGTGTTTGTGTTGGTGTTTGTGTTGGTGTTTGTGTTGGTGTTTGTGTTGGTGTTTGTGTTAGTGTTTGTATCTGTGTTTGTGTTGGTGTTTGTATCCGTGCTGGTGTTTGTGTTGGTGTTTGTGTTGGTGTTTGTATCTGTGTGGTGTTTGTGTTGGTGTTTGTATCTGTGTTGGTGTTGGTGTTTGTGTTGGTGTTTGTATCCGTGCTGGTGTTTGTGTTGGTGTTTGTGTTGGTGTTTGTATCCGTGCTGGTGTTTGTGTTGGTGTTTGTATCCGTGCTGGTGTTTGTGTTGGTGTTTGTATCTGTGTTGGTGTTGGTGTTTGTGTTGGTGTTTGTATCCGTGCTGGTGTTTGTGTTGGAGCTGTGCCTGTGGCTGTGGCTGTGACTGTAGTTGGAGCTGTGGCTGTGGCTATGGCTGTAGTTGGAGCTGTGCCTGTGGCTGTGACTGTAGTTGGAGCTGTGCCTGTGGCTATGGCTGCAGTTGGAGCTGTGGCTGTGGCTGTGGCTATGGCTGTAGTTGGAGCTGTGGCTATGGCTGTAGTTGGAGCTGTGCTGTGGCTGTGACTGTAGTTGGAGCTGTGCCTGTGGCTATGGCTGTAGTTGGAGCTGTGGCTATGGCTGTAGTTGGAGCTGTGGCTGTGGCTGTGACTGTAGTTGGAGCTGTGCCTGTGGTTGTGGCTATGGCTGTAGTTGGAGCTGTGTCTGCCTGTTGGCAAATCCAACCAACCCTCACCCTGATGAGCAAAACAGAATCATTTCACTTTGCAATGTAACCTGGGAAGCGCTTTGAGACGTTGGGATGATGTGATCGGGGCCTGTATCAAATGTAAGGATTATTGTTGTTATTTTTATACTTCCTGAACTGAGACCCTGAAAGTTCGAAGTGTTGACGGTGACGGTGACTGTGTTGCGGTGACGGTGATGTGGTGATGGTGTGGTGTTGTGGTGACGGTATTTCATGGATTTCATAGAATTGTACAGCACAAAAAGAGGCCATTCGGCCCATGGAGTCTGTGCGGCTCTTTGAATAGACCAATTAATGTCAATCCCACTCCCCGGCCCTTTCCCCATAACCTGCAAACCCGTCCTCCTCAAATACCCGTCCACCGCGTTTTTAAAAGTAGTTATTGAATCGGCCTCGACCGCCCTTTCAGGCAATGTTCGAGATTCGAACAACTCGTTGCATGAAAAAATTTCTTCTCACCTCTCCCCTCGGCTTCTTTTAGAGACTATTTTGAATCTGTGACCTCGAGTCACCGACACACCCACCAGTGGGAAGAGTTTCTCCCTTTCTAACCTATCAAATCCCCTCATGATGTTGAAGACCTCTATTAGGTCCTCGTAACCTTCTCTGTTCCAATGTTGTGGTGATGGTGTTGTGGTGACGGTGTTGTGGTGACAGTATAAATGGTATAGAGGGCCCTCTGGACAATGTGTAATTTGGGTGAGGCCCAGTTACATGGTTATTGTGTTTTGTCCACAATAACCTGTTGTGATGACTGTAACTTGTCCTCAGCCTCAAGTGCAGTATAAATTCCGTTTGGCTGGCGTGTCACGGCCGGTGCTAACGCAGTCCCATAAAACATACTTTTGTGCCAGTTGTCACCCTTCATTAGTGGAAGTGGAAACTTTCTCAACATTTTAAAACATGATAATAATCCTGGCATTTAACACAGCGCCTTGTCGTGTCGTTGAAATGTCTCAAAGCGCTTCAGAAGATACACTGTGAAGTGTAGTGACTGTGTTTTGTGGTCAAAACCCGGCACCCACTATGCGGACTACGACGTCCCCCAAAAAATCTTAAGAGTGAGTGAGTGATTTTATTTGGGGGATTTGTTGGCCGTGATATTGGGTAACGCTTTGTCGATCATCACCGTTCACTGGCGGCCGGATCTCCCTCCCAGCACATCCCGACGTGTTTGAATCACTGGCTGCTGAACTCTACAGTTAACAGTGAGGCAGTTGATGACCTGATCCCCACAGTCCAGGCGGGGGAAGCAGATTTCAGCATCTGGGCTCCTTCTCCCATTCAGGATCGATCAGGAGGGGCTTCTGTCTGTTGGTCTGACAGCAGTCCCATGTGAGAGAGTGAGGGTTGCCGGGGGACCAGAAAACAGTGGGTTTTAACGAATGCAGCAAATGGCAAAAAGGATTTAAATGTTTCAATAAAATGATTTGCAGAAGTCACCAAATCAGTTTATTACAGTCAATAAGAGTGAGTCAGACTGGAGCCTGATCAACAGTCACTCCAAGTCTCTAATTTGTTACCAACACCAATCAATACAGTCAGATCAGGGGCAGGACCAGCTCCACGTCCTCACCTGGGCACCAGGCAGAGCGGCACCAGGGGGAGGGGCACCCTGGGCACTGGGGGGGGCACCAGGGTGGGGGGGGAATCCGCACCCTGGGCTGGGGGGGCATCTTGCCCTGTGCCGTGGGAATCAAGTTTTACTGTGAACACAATGATAAAAGGACAAATTCCTAATAATACAAATCCAGGGCCCCCGGCATCTCCACTGGTTATTGAAGGGGATTGATTCGCTGGTCACTCTGCAGTACACAAGGGTCTCCAGGGCCAGCAGATACTTTGCACTATTTATGGTTTGAAGCTGGTCAGAGTGGGGAGGCCGGAGGCTCCAATTTGAATGTAATAAAGTGAAGGTTTGCCTTGGAGGGACCTGGTCCGAATTCTAGACTCCACAATTACGTTAACAGAGAGGACAAGCAGGTCACTCTGCCTTTTTCAATTTTCTCAGTGCATTTTGATTTAGTTTCTTCAAAGAATGTTCAAACTGGTTCCATCTGTGAAGCTGATCACTATAGACCATCCACTGCTTCACTGGCCTTTTCTCTCACTTTATTGGGCCACACATTCACCTCCTCGGATGCTTTGCCACTGGGCACAAAGTGACTTAAATCCATGAACATCTTGGGGATGTCTTTGCCAAAGTAGATTTTGCTGTTGGAGGCAATGGCCTGGTACCTCATCAGCTGCAGGTACTCCGGGCTTAACTTCACCTGAAAGAAAAGTGTAAACAAGAATATTCACACACAAAACGTATAAAACTGTAGAAAGAGGCACCGTAGGTGTTTAATATCCACACAATAACTCAATGATATTTCATAGAATCATAGAATTATACAGCACAGGAGGAGGCCATTCGGCCCATCGTGTCTGTGCTGCTCTTTGAAAAGAGCTTCCAAATCAACACCACTCCCCCACTCTCTCCCCATAGCCCCGATCAACCCCACTCCCCCGCACTCTCTCCCCATAGCCCCGATCAACCCCACTCCCCCACTCTCTCCCCATAGCCCTGATCAACCCCACTCCCCCGCACTCTCTCCCCATAGCCCCGATCAACCCCACTCCCCCACTCTCTCCCCATAGCCCTGATCAACCCCAGTCCCCCGCACTCTCCCCATAGCCCTGATCAACCCCATTCTCTCCCCATAGCCCTGATCAACCCCACTCCCCCACTCTCTCCCCATAGCCCTGATCAACCCCACTCCCCTGCACTCTCTCCCCATAGCCCCGATCAACCCCACTCCCCCACTCTCTCCCCATAGCCCTGATCAACCCCACTCCCCCACTCTCTCCCCATAGCCCTGATCAACCCCAGTCCCCCGCACTCTCCCCATAGCCCTGATCAACCCCATTCTCTCCCCATAGCCCTGATCAACCCCACTCCCCCACTCTCTCCCCATAGCCCTGATCAACCCCACTCCCCTGCGCTCTCCCCATAGCCCTGATCAACCCCACTCCCCCGCACTCTCCCCATAGCCCTGATCAACCCCATTCTCTCCCCATAGCCCTGATCAACCCCACTCCCCTGCGCTCTCCCCATAGCCCTGATCAACCCCACTCCCCCACTCTCTCCCCATAGCCCTGATCAACCCCACTCCCCCGCTCTCTCCCCATAGCCCTGATCAACCCCACTCCCCCGCTCTCTCCCCATAGCCCTGATCAACCCCACTCCCCCGCTCTCTCCCCATAGCCCTGCAAACTTGTCCTCCCCAAATAATTATCTACATCTCTCTTAAAGGTCATTCAGAACTCTGCAGCTCGTGTACTGTCCTGCACCAGGCTTCGGGACCACATCACTCTCACCCTCGCCCTCACCCTCGCCCTCACCCTCACTCCCACCCTCACCCTCACCCTCGCCCTCACCCTCGCCCTCCCCCTCACTCCCACCCTCACCCTCGCCCTCGCTCGCCTCCACTGGCTCCCCATCCCCCAGAGGATCGAATTCAAGATTCTCATCCTCACCTACAAGGTCATTCACGGCCTCGCTCCCTCCTACCTCTCCGACCTACTATCCTCCTACTTACCTGCCCGTACCCTCCGTTCCTCTGGCTCCGGTCTGCTCCACGTCCCCCGCCCCAACCGCCCGACCATCGGTGGCCTTCAGCCTCTCAGCCCCGAGGCTCTGGAACTCTATCCCCCAGTGCCTTCGCCGCTTCCTCCCTCTCCTCCTTCAAGGCCGGTCTCAAGACCTTTCTCTTTGTGTAAGGTTCGGCCATTTCCGTATTTAAATGTTTATAGTGAACACCCAGATGCAATGTTTTTCCCTGGTTAACTATTGTAGTTACTGCTCAGTCAGTTAACTCCTGTAGTTACTGCTTACCTGGTTAGCTTCTGACACCCTTTGGGCAGTGTAAAACTCAGCATCAGCTCGGGCTTTCTCTCGCGCAAGGAACGCAGAATCTGCAGAGGAAAAGCAAACAGATACCTGGATCATTTACTTTGCTGCACAGGTCACTTCAGTATCTCCTTTTTCTAAATCTCAGCACACGTTCCATAGTTGGAAGAACTAGCAAACATATCATTGAATTAACTTAAACACAGAAGTAACTGGGAACACGCAGCAGGTCAGGCAGCATCCATGGAGAGGGGAAAATGAGCTTACATTTCAGGTCAATGACTCAGTCGCCTCTCTGACCCAATGACTTTTGTCAGAACCCAATCGCAACGCCTCCGACGGCTTAATAACAGAACATATAATCAACAACAAATTACATTGGAATCTCAAACATAGGATTGTGTCTTCAGAGAGCACTTTGGAAGCTGCATCCGGATAATGTTATTTGACGGGAGCCATCAGCAGATTAGCTAACCTTAAACTGCTTGTCATGGTCAATCAATAAAACATTGGGTGGGACCACATCAGTCAGTCTGTTCCCCCATTTTATTAGATTGTGACACATAGTTCATGGATCAAACATTTCAGGAGATGCTCACCCCATAGCCACAGAGGGTTCAGAAGGAGAGTGAGTGGGTGACATCCCGGCATGGTAGGAAGAAGGGACGGGCAGTGCAGAAATCTTCTGAGAGTGCGGCACTCACAAACCAGTTCTCTGCACTGAATACCGGTCAGGGTGATGACACCTCTGGGGAGAGGAGTCAAAAGCAAATGGATGAACTGGGGGACACAGGGAAGAATGTTAATGCAATTGTCATTGGGGACAACGGTGAAAGGAGTAGACAGAAGTTTCTGCAAACACAAACGTGACTCTCGCATGGTCTGTTGCCTCCCTGGTGCCAGAGTTGAAGACATCATGGAACGGGTGCAAAACCTTCTAACGGGGGAGGGGAACATCCATAAGTTGTGGTCCATTTTGGGATCCATGACGTAGGGAAAAAAAGGGCTGAGATTCTACAGAAAGAGTATCAGAGGCCAGGGAACAAGCTAAAGAGTAGGGCCTCACAGGTGGTGATCTCTGAATTACTCCCAGTGCCTCGGGCAAGTGAGTATCAAAACAGCAGCTCAAACACATGAATACATGGCTGGAGAAATGGTGCAGAAAGGAGGGCTTCAGGTTCCTGGATCATTGGGACCAGTTCTGTATGAGGTGGATAGGTTACATCTGAACAGGGCTGGGACCAATGTCCTCGCAGGGAGGTTAACTAGTGATGTGGGGAAGGGTTTGAACTAATTTCAAAGGGGGAAGGGACCCAGGATGTAGCATTAGAGAGGACAAACAAGTTACGTAGAGGGCTGGGAGAGACGAATAGCAATGTAATAAGGAGTAATCCAGAAGAAGGAGGGATTAGATGGGGGAGAAATGCAGAGCAGACTCAGTCAGGCTTGGAGTGCATGAGCATAAATGCACAGAGTGTGACAAATAAGATTTTGAGCTGCAGCTCAAGTTGCCACATGGGGTTAAGATGTAGTGGCAATAACGGAGACTTGGCTCAAACAAGGGCAGGAATGGGAGCTGAATATTCCTGGCTACACTGTATTCAGGAGGGATAGGGCAGGAAAGAAAAGGAGGGGAAGGGGCAATATGGTTTAAAGACACGCTTATGGCCCTGGAAAGGGATGATGTGCTAGAGAGTCCAAAAACAGAATCTATTTGGTTAGAGTTAAGGACCAGAAAAGGAGCTGTTACTCTGTCAGGTATTTATTATAGACCTCCAAATAGCGGGAAGGAGAGACGAGCAAATCTGCAGCAGATTTCAGAAAGATGCAAAACCAATAGAGTAGTGATAATGCGGGACTTCAATTATCCTGACATAGACTGGCAAAATAACAGTGTACAGGGCAAGGAGGGGGAGGATTCCTGAAATGTGTGCAGGAGAACTTTCTGGATCAGTACGTTTCCAGCCCAACGAGAAAGGAAGCAGTGCTGGATCTCGTTCTGGGGCATGAAGTGGGGCAAGTGGAGCAGGTTTCAGTAGGAGAGCATCTGGATAACAGTGATCACAAGACCATTGGGTTTCGAGTATTTATGGAAAGGTGCAAGACACTCAACTGGAAGAGGCTAATTTCAGTGAGTTAAACAGGGACCGAGCCAAGGTGGACTGGAACAAAAGATTGGCGGTAAAACAGCTAACGAGCAATGGGAAGCCTTCAAGGAGGAGAGGGTTTGAGGACAGAACAAATACATTCCCGCAAAGGGGAAAGGAGAACATTCAAACCTCCCTGGATGAATAAGGAAATTGGGATTAAAATAAAACAGAAAAAGAAGGTTTATGATAAATGTCAGGTCCAAAACACAGAAGATAATCAAAATAGAATATAGAAAGTACAGAGGAGAACTAAAAAAGGAAATAAAAGGGGCAAAGAGATTGTATGAGAAAAGATTAGTGGGTAATATAAAAAGGAAGCCTAAGGTATTTTATAAGCATATAAAGAAGAAAGGTCAGTCAAAGATTGGGTGGGTCCAATTATGGACCAAAGAGGAAATCTTCCTGTGGAGGCAGAGGGCATCGGCTGACGTACTGAATGAGGACTTTGCATCTGTCTTCACAAAAGAAGAGGATGGAGCCAATGCCACAGTAAAGGAGGAGAGAGGAGAGAAATGGGATAAGATAAGAATAAACCGAGAGGAGGGACTAAAAAAGGTTGTCGGTGCTCAAGGTAAAGTCACCCGGTCCCCGGACGGGATGCATCCCAGGTTACTGAGGGAAGTAAGGCTGGAAATAACGGAGGCTCCGGCCACAATCTTTCAATCCTCCTTGGACACCGGGTGGTGCCAGAGGACTGGAGAGCTGCAAATGTTACTCCCTGTACAAAAAGAGACAAAAGGATAAACCCAAGAACGACAGACCAGTCAGCCTAACGTCAGCAGTGGGGAAACTTCCAGAGACGATAATCCGGGAGGAAATAAATTTTCACTTAGTAAAAAATGGGTTAATAAAGGACAGTCAACATGGAATTGTGTCTAACAAACCGGATAGTTTTTTGATGCAGTAACGGAGAGGGTGGATGAAGGCAGTGCAGTATGTGGTTTATATGGAGTTTCAAAAGGCATTTGATAAAGTGCCACATAAGAGACTTGTAGCAAAATAGCAGTCCCCGGTATTAAAGGGACAGCGGCAGCGGAGACCGAGAGCAGAGAGTGCTGGTGACTGGAGGGAAGTGCAGTGGTGTCCCCCGGGGTCAGTGTTGGGGCCACTGCTGTTTGTGATCTATATGAATGTCCTGGACTTGGGTATAGGGAGGACAATTCCCAAGTTTGCAGATGATACTAAGTTAGGAAAAGCAGTAAACAGTGAGGAGGATAGTAACAGACTGCAAGAGGACATAGACAGACTGGTAACGTGGGCAGACACGGGGCAATGACGTTTAATGTGGAGAAATGCGAAGTGATGCCTTTTGGGAGGAAGAATGAGGAGAGGCAATATACGCTGATGGTCCAATCTTAAAGGGGGTGAAGGGACAGAGAGACCTGGGGGTCATATAAGGAAATCTTTGAAGGTGGCCGGACAGGGAGATACAGCTGTTAAAAAAAACTTACATGATAATAGGCTTTATAAATGGGGCATAGAATACAACAGTCAGGAAGTTATGATGAACCTTTATATAAAACACTGGTGAGGCCTCAGCGAGAGACTGGGTTCAGTTCTGGGCCCCACACGTTAGGAAGGATGTCAAGGCATTGGAGAGGGTGCAAAGGAGATTGACCAGAATGGCACCAGGAATGAGGGACTTCAGTGATCAGGAGAGGCGAGAGAGGCGAGGATTATTCTCCTTGGGGCAGAGAAGGTTAAGAGGAGACTTAATAGAAGTTTTCAAAAAGATGAGGGGATTCGATCGAGTGAACAGGGAGACACTATTCCCACTGGCGGGTGGGTCGGTAACCCGAGGGCACCAATTGAAAATAGTTGTTAAAAGAAACAGAGGGGAGGGGAGGAGAAATGTCTTCACACAGCGAGTTGTTGGGATCTGGAATGCGTTGCCTGAAAGGCCGGTGGGAACCGATTCTATAACAACTTTTAAGAGAGATGTAGATAATTATTTGGGGAGGACAAGTTTGCAGAGCTATGGGGAGAGGCGGGGGAGTGGGGTTGATCAGGGCTATGGGGAGAGAGAGAGGGAGAGCCATTAGACAAGGAGAGATACTGGAGAAGAAAATCACAGATGTGGAGGAATGTTGTGAAAACATGATCTCAAAAATCCACCTACCTTCAATTTCTGAAATCTTTTTCTCAGTTTCCTTTTCCATTATCATTTGAGCAAATTTAATTTCAGCCACTTGGGCAACTTTCTCTGCCTCTGTGTGGAGGGAACAAAGTTTTCAAGATAAAATCTTGCAACACTTCTACCTCCACTTCTGATCAAGAGGGGACCAATCTAATGTTCTGGGTTATGAAAGTATTCGATAAGTAGGACTTTTTAATCTATTGTGTCCACTGGTTGGTGAGTCCAATACTAGAGGAAATCAATATATGATGGCCAGTAACAACAACAAAATTACAGGTGTAAAGCGCCTTTCACGTCGGGAGGACGTCCGAGGCACTGGACAGAGTTACAGACCCGAGTGAGGGTCGGGGTGAGGGAGGGCAGAGGGGGGTAGCAGGGAGATTGAAAGCACGGTTGAAGAGGAGGGTCTTGAGGTGGGTCTTGAAGGTGACGAGGGAGGGGGCGAGACGGAGGAAGTGCGGGATGGAGTTCCAGAGGGTGGGGACAAAGTGGTGGAAGGCCCGCCTGCCGACAGTGGGTCGAGCGAGGCGGGGGACATGAACAGACCTGAAAGGGAGTTTACGAGGATCTTCTTCACCACAGAGGGTGGTGAGAATGTGGAAGTCACTGCCGGAAGCTGTGGTTGAAGCAGAAAGCATCAATGTATTTAAGCGAACACTTGCTGCAGAGATGGAGAAGGGAATAAAGGGGAAATCGGTGGAATGGTGGCTAAACGCAGAGTAGAAAGACTGGCACAGGTCAGTCGGCCTGTCCCCGTGTCACTTTATGTAACATCCAATCTGCCAGTGGCCTTTTCCTGTTTGTGCATTTCTGTGTTTCTACAAATGAGGTCATTACAATTTGTGAATTTAGCAAATGCTTAAATAAACACTGACCGATAAGAGCTTTCTTCCGCTCAGTCTCAGCTTCTTTTTCCACCACTTTCTGTTTCTGAGCAGCAATGAGTAACTTAGTCTTCTCACTCTCCCTGAAGATAAAGTCAATGGAAGTAAAACAATAAGAAATTGTAACTAAGGTAGTTTTTAATGCAAGGAAACAATACAACCCCTGATCAAGGATTTCTGAAATTAACTTATAATAATTCACAAAACTCACATCAGTTCATAGTTCCTCCTGATGGTTTCTGGAATGTTGGGTTTAGTCACTCTGACTGCCTGTGGGGAGAAAACATTCCGGTAAACTGGTGAAGGAAGCCATTCCTCCACTGCACACAATTGATGACGGGTAAAACATCAAAACACATCCTCATCACTCCCTCCTCCAGCTCCTGAACTGACTCTCAGAATGGTTACCCCTTGTGTGGGAGCTGTGGCCAGAAACCTAACATACAATATCAGCTCCTTTATTTTTATTCCTTGAGAATCTACTTTAAAACTCATGAGACCAAAGCCTCAGATCGTATTAATCCAACAGCGTTAAATACCCATTACTCCCATTGGCCTTCGATTCGTCACAGGATTAAACAGGAGAAACATTACAGAGGGCTTACGTGGATGATCAGGCCAGGTGCCATGGAAGTTAAGTCTTGTTGCAGTGCCAACTTCAGGTCCTCATCGATCTGATCTGACAACAAAAAAGGTGTAACAGCAGTGACTGGACACCACATCTCACTCATTTAGACTTTCTGTTATGCACATATTCACCGTCAAGCATTTCCGTGAACAACTCTTCCCATTAAACTGTGAGTTGTTTGTCATTGTTTTAATCCTTTTCCAGCAATTTCTTCTTTTCTTTACCCTTCCCTCCCTCCCTCCCCGCTTTCACATTTTATTAAGATTTCACAGACGTCTTGATGTCGGAGCCTAAACAGGGAGAGTGGCCAAGTGCTCACAGCCTCCTCTGCCTGACACATCCAACATGAACTTTCCAGCAAAGTTCATTGACAAGAATCAGGAACGGAAACCCTGGCTGATTTGACCCATGGAGGAGCCCAGGCAGTGTAACCACAAATAACCTTCCTAGTTGATGCTCAATTTCCTTCACTGCATTTCCAGGACCAGCCGCAGACCTGGACTAGTGTTGTGTTTGCCCTCAGCTCCCAGCACTTCACTACTTAGTTGAAAGGAAGGAGCGAGCTATCCAACAGAGCGAGTGCTGATGTCATCTGCCGAGAAAAATGTGCACTGTTCATGGCTCAAATGATTAGATGCCCCCAAAAGCTGATTCACTTTTCTAGTTCTGACCAGACCTTAGTTTTGTACACATGTATCCCCCCTGCGCTTGTATTCAATGCACTGATATAAACCCTGATACACTGTATTTACCAAACAGTTGGATGTAGACTTCCTGCAGGGTGTGCACGCTGCAGAACTGGTTCAACTCGTGGTGGATTTTGTTGAAGATTAAAGTTTTGTCATAGTCTGCGGTGTAGTTCTTCACAATGTCGTACACTAAATAAAATTAAATGTTAATTACAAACAGTGAAGAGAAACTCAACACAGTGACTGGTGTGCAGGTGCTGGTTGCTCTGGTTGGTGCGTGTGAGCTGTCAAACACTGATCGATTGACATCTTCCATACAGTGATCCCAAATGACACCTGTGCTGAAAAGCTGCACCAGAGGAAATGCTTCAAATCCAGTCACAACCCAATGGGATCCCTAATGGCTTCACTTCTGACAATCAGCACCTATGATCTTAAACGCTCTGGGACTCTACCCCATGTGAAGGGCGTGATATAAATGCAAGTTATTGTTACTGTTGTCCGGATATATGCAAGAGGAGGCTGTTCCCAGCCACAGGGGAATGATGGCATATTCCAGAACTGGCAAACACGCAACTTGTGTGAGTTCCCAGCAGCCTGAACTGGAATTGGAAGCGATACCAGACAGGGAGCAGAGTGTCTGATAGCAAAGTTGCAGACGGGGTATAAAGGTTGTCTAACGTTTATCCAAACAGGGATATGCAACATCGGGTTAACCGTCTTGTCCAAAAGGATGGCATCTCCGACAATGCAATGCTCCTCCCTGCAAATGCTCCATGATTTGCGTGTGCAGCTGAGAAAGAGCCTCTCGTGTGATTGACTTCAGACTTCCTCGTACTTGAGCAGCTGACTATGTACAGAGATAAGTCCATTCTCGTGAGAAAGTTAAATGGTTTCCTGGTGACTTCCTAAGGACTATACATTCCTGCATTCAGGAAATCTTAAATGATTATGAAAAAGAGCCTCCAGTCACTGCTTGTGCCTGGTTGTGTTGTGTGAGGTTTTTCTGAGTGTTGGGGAATGTGGTACAGTTCTGAGATCTCTTTCCTGGGGCAGTGTCTGCAGAAATCAATCACAGACTAGCTGGGAATATAAAGCTGCGACCTGTATTCTTGGGTCTCATACCCTCTATACCCTCCAGTGGCTTCGCTGGGCGTCAGATTCGATCCCCAGCTTTCCTTTCTCCCCTACATCCCTAACAAGGACCGCTTTTTTTCACCTCAGTTACATTGCCCGCCTCCGTATCTCACAAGAACAGCATCCAAAACCCTCGTCCACACATTTGTTACCTCCCAGATGAACTATTCCAACGCCCGCCTCGCTGGTCTCCCCAGCTCCACCATACACAAAATGCAACTAAATCAGAACTCCACTTCCCAGATTCTTGCCCGCATGAAACTCCGTGCCCCCATCACCTCAGTCCTTGCCAGACTCCATTGGCTCCCAATTACTGAACAGATTGATTTCAAGATCCTCTCACTCGTTTTTAAATCCCTTCATGCCCTCGTTATCTCCCTACCTCTCCAATTTGCATAAGCCCCATTCCCCCACCCTCCGCTCAGCTGGCTCCAGCCTCCTATTCATCCGTCATCCCCTCCATTCCACTATTCTCTAGACCTCTCTCCCTCAATCTCTCCCTCCCCATTTTCAAATCCCACCTAAAGACCTTTCTTTTTGATCGCCTCCACCCTTATGCTCACCTCCACCCTCCCTCTCCCCCTGATTCGGGGTCAGACTGCGCCACTGTCAAGGGCTCTGGGACACTACCCCATGTTAAGGGCGATATATAAATACAAGTTGTTCTGAATCTCATCAGAAACCAAGGTTCAAGTTCCTGCAATTTGGTGTGACTTCCTCATAGTGCTGCCAACCACTCCATTACCAACTTCCTGGAACTACTGCCCCACAGCTCGAGCCCTCACTCACACCATCAACTTCCTGAGCCCTGGCCTCAAGCGCAACGTGGTTTCATTGCAAGTAAGGTGCTTGAGGATGTCCTTACCTGCATTTGGGACAAGGAAATTTACCACTTCTATCCTGTCAAAGTAGATCATTACACCACCACTGTGGATCAAGAGAGAGCATTTAATGTTGTAACATTTTGCCAGTGAAGTGGTTAAATGTCTCCGTTTACAAGCGTTATCACTGGTTTTATTGCTTCTACAATATCACCATTTCAGATCTCTCCTTTTAATATTCAGACACGCAAACACACACGTACTTAGGACATTGAGCATTTCCCTCGTACAGTTTGCAATTTTACGACCTCGGCCTGCCCACCCCGCTGTCTCCCATGACAGCATTAAGTTCTTTATCCCACTCCCTGTTAACCTGTACCACCTGGGACCTCAAGCTGTTTGCGAATGCAGCAAAATACATTACCTCGTGCCGCAGGGCACATTTTTCACTTCATCCGTCTGCAACGTGTTCTGTAAGGCAAAGGTTCTGTTTAAACCTGAGATACTAATTTGTAGAAATCATCAGAAAATGTCCCAATCTGACAACAGACAAGTATTATTATTAATCATATTAATAATCCCTGCATTTGATTATGCAGTATCACATCATTGGGACATCTCAAAGAGCCTCACAGAATATAATGTAAAGGGGACTGACTGTGTATTTTGTGCACAGCAGTGTCCCAAACACTCTTATTGAGTGACCAAATTATTGATTTAATTTATTTGAAGGGATTATTAATAATAATCATTACCCCAGGAAACTGATCCACCAATCAACTAACAATTGGGTTCCCATTCAATGCAAGGTAAACAGAAGCGTGTGGAGTAAGGAAATTTGCCCAAGGGCTTGCTCTGCCTGGGAATTAAACCCAGGTCCTCTCGCTTGTGAGGCGAGCGCTCTAACCACCACTACCGGACTCAACAAATCATTATAATGCGGGGCTCGGCAATATATTTACAAGCGATATCACTGGTTTTATTTTGATACATTTCCAAGAAGAATCTCATTTAAAACAAAACACTTTGACCTTCTAAATCCTATGGCTCAATGAGCATGTCAATTTAATCCAAGGAAGGTCCCAGGTTCAATTCCCAGTCACATCAAACCTAGGAATTATATCTGAGATGTTAGACAGGTCAGCAGATCCTATCGCCCCCATCCTTGCTCGACTTCACTGGCTTCCCATCAGACAGAAGATGCAGTTCAAGATCGTAGTCCTTGGCTTCAAAGCCCTCCATGGTTTTGCTACTCCCGACCTCTGCGACATCCTAACCCCCCTACCATCCTGCTCGCTTCCTCCCCTCAGCGGGCTCCGGCCTGCTTAATGCCCCCACCTGACTCGCCCCACTATTGGTGGGCAGGCCTTCAGCCACTGCCCCCACCCTCCGGAACTCCATCCAACGGGCCATCCGCCTCTCCCCTCCCTCACCACCTTCAAGACCCAACTCAAGACCCTCCTCTTCGACCGTGCTTTTGATCACCCTCCTTCCCCCCACTGCCCTCCACTCTCCCCGATCCCGACCCCCTACTCGGGTCCGAAACATTGACTGTCCAGCGCTTTGAGACATCCTCCTGACGTGAAAGGCTCTGTACGCATGTCATTTTGTTGTTTTGTTATTGGCTGAGGGAGGAAAAAAATGAGGCGATATTCGTTCTCCCAGTCAGATTCCAGAGAGCTGTTGCTGGAGGCTGTGTGAGAATTTGTGGACATCAGGCAAGGATTGGGCTGTCACCTGCCAACAAGAACACAAAAAAGTAACTCGGAAAGGTAACGGAGGGAACCTGCAGAACTACGTCCCAATGAAAGGAATGAAGGAATTGAGTATATTTAGGGGATCAAAGGGAAATGCAACTTTTGTCATATTCTTGATTTATTACCTTGAATTGTTGCTGCCAACACCAGCGCTTCCCCTATTGCCTCCGTCCCTCGCAGCTCAAACAGATCAGTAATGTCACATCACAGCAGCGCTGTATTGAAATTCTACTGACAATATAAGGAACGAACATAACCCACATGTACATTATACCTGAACTGCTTTAAAGGTGGTAATAAAAGGAAGCATGAGATGGAAACCGGGTCCACTTGTCGCTTTCAACAAAGCACCGCCCCTAAAACAAAATGTACAAAATTTATAAATTGAAAGTCGCCTGCGCTCCCTCCCCCCCCCCACACACCCACACAGCCACCCATGCACACACACGCAGCCACCCATGCACACACCCACCCACACAGCCACCCGTGCACACACACGCAGCCACCCATGCACACACCCACCCACACAGCCACCCGTGCACACACGCAGCCACCCATGCACACACCCACCCACACAGCCACCCGTGCACACACACGCAGCCACCCATGCACACACCCACCCACACAGCCACCCGTGCACACACGCAGCCACCCATGCACACACCCACCCACACAGCCACCCATGTGCACACACACACACACACAGCCAGCCGTGCGAGCGCGAACACACACACATACACACACAGCTGCCCGTACACACACACACGCATACACACAGCCAGCTGTTTGCCTGCCCACGCATGCACACCATGAGAAGCCTTTTTTGGGTGCAGCTTGAAGAGGGATTGAAGTTTGTTGAAGAAATGATGCAGATTCTGGGAGATTTTTAAATAAATCCTTATATTTCATATGGTGTCTTATCTACAATCACCCTGAAATCAGCCACTAAAATCTGGGGCCTAAACCATATTCATGACATTTGAGACCTAGTAAATTCCCAAAGATGGCAAGGATTTAGTTTCACTGTGTGGACAGTACAGATAACAGAGCACATGTTCGAGCTGGAAAACAATCAGAAATTATTTCAGTTCTATATTCCATGTCAATCACTGAGAGTCTCCTATGACACTGTCTCTTTTCACACTGGAAAAAATACTACGTGTGGGGGTGGAGAAGACACCAGGAGCAACGGAACCATGTAAATCATGTAAATGACAGACGCTGCAATCATACATGTACTGAATGTATGTCCCACCCGCCCCACCCGCCCCACCATTGTTGGGAGAGCCTTCAGCCACTCTGCCCCCAACCTCTGGAATTCCATCCCCGTCACTCGGCCTCGGCCCCTCCTTAGCCTTCTTCAAGTCCCGCCTCAAGACCCTCCTCTTCGACCATGCCATCGGCCACCCCCCTTCCCTTCCTCTCTCTTACCTCGTCAACCCCAGCTCGGGTCTGAAATGCTGTCACTGTCCAATGCCTTGGGACGTCCTCCTGACGTGAAGGGCGCTATACACATGTGATCTTGTTGTTGTTGTTATGTACTGCGCTGCTCATGCAAAGAGCTACTCCAGAAATCAGTGTACGAATTTCAGGATCACTCTCGATTCACAAATCACTTTAAATCGCAGTTTAAAGCAAGTCAGTGACGGGCACAAGACTCCGAACGGTTTGTGGCTCACCTGTAGTAAACTGCAATGTGACCCTCTTCAACTTTATGCACCGAGGAAAAGAGCGTGGCCGCAAGCATCGCGGCAGCTACAGCGAAGATAGATCCGAGCTGCACCATCCTGTGGCCTGCAGGGTCAGCGAGAGGACAAGAGTAATTAAACCTGAAACCACTCAATCCTGCAGCTCAGGTCCGAGGCTTGGTCTTTGTTGAGTCTCTGACCTCGGAGGTGGCAGCCACTGGGTCTACAATTGCCTTGCAGTCTGGCTGACTGGCAAGCTTTCCTGGTGATTCTCCAGCTAGGACCACCCTCCCCGTTAGTTAGGGCTTTGGCTGCAGGGTCAACAGGAGCTGAGGGGGAGGATTCCCGGCCCCCAGTGACTGGTCGGCCTTTCCAGGTCCTGCTGATGAGCCGGGCCGGGCTGTGCTGCCATCAGCAGTGAGTGCCCTGGAATACTACGGCCCCTCGTGGCTCAGGAACTGGACTAGAGACCATGAAAGGGTGGGGGGAGCTCGATTCCAACATTCCGTTGGCAGTTCAGCTCCAAGGAGGATAGTCATTAGTTGATGGTCTGACATCCGACAAGCAGGGGTTTGAGCCTCACGGGGTGGGTGGTAGGTAACGGGGTCAGGGGTTAATTATTGAGTTTTTAATTTCAGATTTTTCCTCCTGAAAAAACAGCCTCTTTGCCTCCGGCACCTCCCACCCGCCCTCCGCACGCTGCTCCCAGCGGTACCTGGTGGCTCGGAGCCTGACCTGTCTCTCAGCAACTGCTGCTTAAACTCCACACCTCCAACTGTGAGGTTCCCGGTGGGTGGGCAACACAGCTCGGCATTGCCCCCCACCCTCAGCTCAGGCTCACACAATAATAACCCTTACATTTGTTATGGCGCCTTATCCTATCCCATCGCACAGAGGATACGGTTCAAGATCCTGGTCCTCACCTCAAAGCCCTCCATGGTCTCGCTCCCCCCGAGCTCTCCGACCTCCTCACCCCCTACCACCCTGTTCACTCCTTCCGCTCAGCGGGCTCCGGCCTGCTTCACATCCCCCGCCTCGCTCACCCCACTATCAGCGGGCGGGCCTTCCGCCACTCTGCCCCCACCCTCTGGAACCCCATCCCCCAGTCCCTCCGTCTCACCCCCTCCCTCTCCTCCTTCAAGACCCACCTAAAGACCCTCCTCTTCGACCGTGCTTTCGCTTACCCTCCTCCCCCCTCCCCCCCGCCCTCCCCCCCACCATCCCCCCTCCCCCCGCCGTCCCCCCCCAGCTCGGGTCCAAAACACCGTCTGTCCAGCGCCTTGGGCCGTCCTCCCGGCGTGAAAGGCCTTACACCAGATCATGTTGTTGTTGTGGTCACGGTTTCGAAGCTCAAAGTGCTTCACAGAATATATCATAAGGTGTGGTGACCATGAGGTGTAGTGACTGTGTAGTGACTGTGAGGTGTAGTGACTGTGTAGTGACTGTGATGTGTAGTGACTGTAGTGACTGTGAGGTGTAGTGACTGTGATGTGTAGTGACTGTAGTGACTGTGAGGTGTAGTGACTGTGTGGTGACTGTGAGGTGTAGTAACTGTGAAGTGTGGTGACGGTGTAGTGACTGTGAGGTGTGGTGACTGTGGGCTCTCTGAGGTGTGGTTTGAGCAGCACCTGTTGACGCTCGGGCCCAGGTCACGGCGCCGCCTCCCGGGGCCTTCCCGCCCTCTCACCGCGGCCGCTGTCGGTGTCTTTCCCGGCGCCGAGAAGCGGCCTGTGACGCTACTGACGTCATCAAACCGCGCGACCACACATCGTCGCACTCCCAATTACATCACATAACGGGAGCTAAAGCGCCACCTTCTGGCGATAGAAGCAATAACATCCCAATGCGCCCGGGGGAGGGGGAGGGGCCCGGGCGGGGAGGGGGAGGGGCCCGGGCGGGGAGGGGGAGGGGCCTCCAACACGTCAGCAGTTTTGAGGCCCCGCCCCCGGGGACCCGCAGCCGTCACTCACCCCCGAGAGCAGCGCCACAGGGCCCGAACCTCAGCCTCAGCCACAGCGCCATCAGCCGCTCTCAGTGAGTCACAGTCACACACAGTCACACAGAGGGTCACACAGAGGGTCACACACACAGTCACACAGAGAGTTACACAGAGGGTCACACACACAGTCACACAGAGAGTCACACAGAGAGTTACACAGAGAGTCAAACACAGAGTCACACAGAGAGTTGCACAGAGTCACACAGAGAGTTACACAGAGAGTCACACAGAGAGTTACACAGAGAGTCACACAGAGTTACACAGAGAGTCACACAGAGAGTTACACAGAGGGTCACACAGAGAGTTACACAGAGATTCACACAGAGAGTCACACGGAGAGTTACACAGAGGGTCACACAGAGAGTCACACAGAGTGTCACACAGAGAGTTACATACACAGAGAGTCACACAGAGAGACATACAGTCACACACACAGTCACACAGAGAGTCACACAGAGAGAGTCACATAGAGAGTTACACAGAGAGTCACACACACAGTCACACAGAGAGTTACACACATAGTCACACAGAGGGTTACACAGAGAGTCACATAGAGAGTCACACAGAGAGTTACACAGAGATTCACACAGTGTGTCACACACACAGAGAGTCACACAGAGAGTTACACACACACAGTCACACAGAGAGTCACACAGAGAGACACACACACAGTCACACACACAGTCACACAGAGAGTCATACAGAGAGTTACACAGAGAGTCACACAGAGAGTCACACAGAGAGTTACACAGTGAATCACACAGAGAGTCACAGAGAGTTACACAGAGAGTCACACACACAGTCACACAGAGTCACACAGAGAGTCACACAGAGAGTCACACACACGGTCACACACACAGTCACACAGAGAGTCACACAGAGAGTTACACAGAAAGTCACACACACAGTCACACAGAGAGTTACACACAGAGAGTCACACAGAGAGTTACACAGAGAGTCACACAGAGAGTCACACAGAGAGTTACACAGAGAGTCACACACACGGTCACACACACAGTCACACACACAGTCACACAGAGAGTCACACAGAGAGTTACACACACAGTCACACAGAGAGTCACACAGAGAGTTACACAGAGAGTCACACAGAGTCACACAGAGAGTTACACACACAGTCACACAGAGAGTCACAGAGTTACACAGAGAGATTCACACACAGAGAGTCACACAGAGAGACACACACACAGTTCACACAGAGAGTTACACAGAGAGTTACACAGAGAGAATCACACAGAGAGTCACACACACAGTCACACAGAGAGTCACACACAGAGTTACACAGAGAGAGTTACACAGAGAGTCACACACAGTGACACAGAGAGTCACACACACAGTCACACAGAGAGTGACACAGAGAGTTACACAATGAATCACACAGAGAGTCACACAGAGAGTTACACAGATTCACACAGAGAGTCACACAGAGTGTCATACAGAGAGTTACACACACAGAGAGTCACACAGAGAGACACACACACAGTCACACACACAGTCACACACACAGTCACACAGAGAGTCACACAGAGAGTTACACAGTGAATCACACAGAGAGTTACACAGAGAGTCACACACACAGTCACACAGAGAGTCACACAGAGAGTTACACAGAGAGAGTCACACAGAGAGTTACACAGAGAGTCACACACACAATCACACAGAGATTTCCACAGAGAGTTACACAGAGAGTCACACAGAGAGTCACACACACATAGTCACACAGAGTCATACAGAGAGTCACACACACAGTCACACAGAGAGTTACACAGTGAATCACACAGAGAGTCACACACAGAGTCACACACATAGTCACACACAGAGTTACACAGAGTTACACAGAGAGTCACACAGAGAGTTACACACAGAGAGTCACACTGGGAGTTACAGAGAGAGTCACACAGAGAGTCACACAGAGAGTCACGCAGAGAGTTACACGCAGAGAGTTACATACAGAGAGTTACACAGAGAGTTATACAGAGAGTTACACAGAGAGATTTACACACACAGTTACACACAGAGAGTTACACACAGAGAGAGTTACACACTGAGAGAGTTACACACAGAGAGAGTTACACACAGAGAGTTACACACAGTTACACAGAGAGAGTTACACACAGAGTGAGTTACACACACAGTGAGTTACACACACACAGAGTGAGTTACACACACACAGTGAGTTACACACACACAGAGTGAGTTACACACACACAGTGGTTTACACACACACACACAGTGAGTTACACACACACACACAGTGAGTTACACACACACACACAGTGAGTTACACACACACACAGTGAGTTACACACACACACAGTGAGTTACACACACACAGAGTGAGTTACACACACACACAGAGTGAGTTACACACAGAGTGAGTTACACACACACACAGAGTGAGTTACACACAGAGTGAGTTACACACAGAGTGAGTTACACACACACACACAGTGAGTTACACACACACAGTGAGTTACACACACACAGAGTGAGTTACACACACACACACAGTGAGTTACACACACACAGTGAGTTACACACACACAGAGTGAGTTACACACACACACAGAGTGAGTTACACACACACACAGAGTGAGTTACACACACACACAGAGTGAGTTACACACACACACAGAGTGAGTTACACACACACACAGAGTGAGTTACACACACACACAGAGTGAGTTACACACCGAGTGAGTTACACACACACAGAATGAGTTACACACAGAGTGAGTTACGCACAGAGTGAGTTACACACACACACAGTGAGTTACACACAGAGTGAGTTACACAAACACAGAGTGAGTTACACACAGAGTGAGTTACACACACACACACAGTGAGTTACACACACACAGTGAGTTACACACACACAGAGTGAGTTACACACAGAGTGAGTTACACACACACAGAGTGAGTTACACACAGAGTGAGTTACACACACACACACAGTGAGTTACACACACACAGAGTGAGTTACACACAGAGTGAGTTACACACACACACACAGTGAGTTACACACAGAGTGAGTTACACACACACAGAGTGAGTTACACACAGAGTGAGTTACACACACACACACAGTGAGTTACACACACAGTGAGTTACACACACACAGAGTGAGTTACACACACACACAGAGTGAGTTACACACACACACAGAGTGAGTTACACACACACACAGAGTGAGTTACACACACACACAGAGTGAGTTACACACACACACAGAGTGAGTTACACACACACACAGAGTGAGTTACACACCGAGTGAGTTACACACACACAGAATGAGTTACACACAGAGTGAGTTACGCACAGAGTGAGTTACACACACACACAGAGTGAGTTACACACAGAGTGAGTTACACACACACACAGAGTGAGTTACACACAGAGTGAGTTACACACACACAGAGTGAGTTACACACACACAGAGTGAGTTACACACAGAGTGAGTTACACACACACACACAGTGAGTTACACACACACAGTGAGTTACACACACACAGAGTGAGTTACACACAGAGTGAGTTACACACACACAGAGTGAGTTACACACAGAGTGAGTTACACACACACACACAGTGAGTTACACACACACAGAGTGAGTTACACACAGAGTGAGTTACACACACACACACAGTGAGTTACACACAGAGTGAGTTACACACACACAGAGTGAGTTACACACAGAGTGAGTTACACACACACACAGTGAGTTACACACACACAGTGAGTTACACACACACAGAGTGAGTTACACACAGAGTGAGTTACACACACACAGAGTGAGTTACACACAGAGTGAGTTACACACACACACACAGTGAGTTACACACACACAGAGTGAGTTACACACAGAGTGAGTTACACACACACACACAGTGAGTTACACACACACACAGTGAGTTACACACACACAGAGTGAGTTACACACAGAGTGAGTTACACACAGAGTGAGTTACACACACAATGAGTTACACACACACACACACACTCACAGTGAGAGACTGGGCCAATGAGTTTTATGATACATTATAAAATGGCATTTACGGCGCTTTTTACTTCTGGAGGTCGTGTCAACATCCCAAAGCACTGGACAGTCAGGAATTTGGACCCGAGCGGGGAATGGGGGATGGGGGTTGGGGTAAGGGAGGGTAGGAGTGTGGCCGAAGATGTTGTCGAAGAGGAGGGTTGTGAAACATGCCTTGAAGGAAGCAGGAAGGGAGCGAGGCGAGGGGCTGTGGGATGGAGTTCCAAAGGGTGGGGGCAGAGAGGCTGAAGGCCTAACTGCCGATGGTGGAGCGTCCAGGCCGGGCACGGTACATGGGGCAGGCGAGAGCCCGCTGAGGGCAGGGAGCGGACAGGCAGATATGGGGTTAATAGGTCACAGAGGCAGCAGAGGGTGAGGCCATGGAGAGCCTTGAAGGCGAGGACAAGGATTTTGAACTGTATCCTCTGGGGGATGGGGAGCCAATGGAGTTGGTCGAGGATGGGGGTGATGGGGTCACGGAGCCTGGTGTGGGAGAGGACACGGGCTGCAGAGTTCTGGAGGAAGGAGTTGGTGTAGTCGAGCCTTGATATAATAAATGTGATGGGTGGATAATCATTTTGGCTTCTTGAGGGGTGAGGCAGTGGCGGAGCCGAACAATGTTGCGGAGGTGGGGGAAGCAGAGTGGGTCATGGCACGGATATGGGTTAGAAAGGACAGTTGAGGGTCAAACAAGATGCCAAGATGGTGATGCTGTCAGCGCCTGAGGTGAGGAGGCACTGACGGGAGACAATCAGGAGCCTCGGTCTGGTTGACGTTCAACTGGAGAAAGTTAGCTCTCATCCAGGGCTTGATGTCTGACAGACATTCTGTCAGGACAGAAGTGGGTCCTGGAGTCAAGGGTGGAGGCAGAGAGGTACCATCAGAGAAGGTGTCATCCGCATACATGTGGAAGTTGACCCCATATCTGCGAATGACGTCACCAAGAGGGAGCATATAGATGTTGAAGAGGAGGGACCAAGGACAGAGCCCTGAGAAACGCCGCACGAGAAGGTGCGTGGGCTAGAGGAGAGGCCGTTTGTAGAGATGAAGTATACGCGGTGTGAGAAGTACAATCTGAACCAATCAAGGATAGCGCCGTGGAGGTTGAGGTGAGAGGAGAGGCGGTGGATGAGGATAGAGTGGTCAACCGTGTTGAAGGCCGGAGTTTGAGAGTGAGATGGGGAGTGTGTAGTAGACAGAACGGCAGAGACAGCTGAGTGGATTCTCTCGACTTTGGATTCGAGGAAGTCCAGCATCGCCTCGCAGTTGACATTAGAGGAGAGGATGGTTGAGGCATGAGAGAGTGGGCGGAGGAGCCGTTTGGTGGTGGAGAAGAGGATCCTGGGGTTGTTCTTGGTCTCTAAGATTGTCTTGGAGTAAGCACTTTGACACGAGGAGGTCATTGCGGGAAGGAGCCTAGAGGGAGGAGGAGTTCAGATAACTCCAAGGCAGAGGGAGGGAGATGGTTTTCCAGGAGTGAGTTAGATCACATGTGTATAACGTCTTTCACATCAGGAGGACGTCCTAAGGCGCTGGACAGGGACAGCATTTCAGACCTGAGTTGGGGTCGGGGGGGTGGGAGTCGATGGCATGGTCAAAGAGGAGGGTGTTGAGGCAGGACTTGAAGGCTAAGGAGGGGCCGAGGCGGAGTGAATGGGGGATGGAATTCCAGAGGTTGGGGGCAGAGTGGCTGAAGGCTCTCCCGCCAATGGTGGGGCGGGTGGGTCGGGGGGCGTGGAGCAGCCGGAGCGGCTGAGCGGAGGGAACGGGCGGGTTGGTAGGGGGTTAGGAGCAGGTGGTGGGTTTGAGTTTGCGGACAGTTGTGGTGAGGGAGGAGGGAGAGATAGGATCGAAGGAGTATAGGGGGATGGGTGAGTGGTGGGTCATGAGGGAGAGATGATGGGGGGTGGCTGTGGACGGGGCTGAGGTGGCTGAACGTATCCCCTCGATTTTGGATTCAAGGAAGTCCAGCATCTCCTCGCAGCTTGAGGAGAGGATGGGCGAGGTATGGGAGAGGGTGGACAGAGAAGACGGTTTGTGGTACACACACAGAGACTGAGAGACAACTCAGAAAGAGCGAGGGACCAACAGTCAGTGGGTGTGATTCTCGACCTTCTCACTCACTTCCTGCTGCTCATTCATTAGGTGGGAATTATTACTTATTCCAGGTATTTCAAGGATGCACTGATACAAGGTATTTATTACAGTTCCACCATTTCACTGGAAGGTTATTGGCATTCAGCAGTGATTTATTTTATATTAAAATGGAAGGCGCTGGATTCAATACTGTTTGAAGGAGATCATATGTGTTTGACTCTACCTTCGGATGCACAAGAAAGAGTAGAACAAGAACACAACAGGTTAGAGTTGCAAAGGGGAATTTGAGGATAGGCACCGGGAGGTTTTTCTTTACTTAGAAGGTAATTAACAATTGGAACCAGTGGCCAGGAAAGATGGTTAAGACCAGGTCACCGGCTCATTTTAAAACAGCTTTAGGCTGTGGTGGGGGAAAGGGGAACAGTAGGGCAGGTTTTCTGCATGGATGAGATCAGACAGGACAAAGGATTTTCTTTATCCAAACTAATCTTGTGAGATGTAAAGTATTTTCTGATTTAGGGAAACGGGAGGGAGAGGCCATCGATCCTGCAACATGAAAAGCTGCAACTTAAGTGTTATTTGCTTCCTTCTCGTCGGCTCTGTGGGTATTGTGGAAAGTAAGAAGACAGGAGATCTGTTTTGTGGAGGTGAGTGAGAGAGTGAAAAGAGTCCAAATACCCCAGCACAGTATCTTTCCCTCTTGATAATCCCCGGTTTATCCTGACAAAAATGAAGTGATGAATGATTGTGTCCTAGGTTGTGGCTCAGCCAGTTGCACTCTGACCTCTGAGTGGGAAGCTTATGGTTTTGAGCCCCACAATGTTGGGATTTGAGCTGACGGTCCAGGCCAACCCTCCAGTTCAGTGAGGGGAGTCTGGCATTGTTGGAGACGCTATCTTTCAGTGAGATGTTAAAGGCCTTTCTGCCTGTTCAGGTGAATGTTTAAGATCAGTGATACAATTAGGAAAAAAGTTTCCCCTGGCTATTTGTGGGACCTACCTTACTGCGTGCAGAATGTCTGCATCGTTAGCCAACAAATATACAGTCACTACATTTGTCAGCCATTCCCTGTTGAGCTTTGTACTTTTTGACCTTATAAAGCACGAATGCAAGTTCTCTCTTTACTGTCAGCACCGGCACTGACACTCTCTCTCTCGCTCTCTCTCTGTAGCTTGCAGAGCTCTCGTGGATGAGATCGAATGGGAAATCTTGCAAATTGATCCCAAGAAAGTCATCCAGACGGAATCATTCCATTTAAACCCGGAGGGCACTCAGGCTGTTGCTGAGGTGGGAGCATGTTGGTAGATGACCTAGTAAATGGTTGGGTGGGTCTCATGTTTTCAAGTGGGCTTCGTTCAGCATGGTTCTGGGTGGGCGTCCGGGGCCTGACTGAGCAGATAGAGATCAAAACAATAATAATAATAATAATATTTATCAGATCTTTGCGACGTCTCAAAGCGCTTCACAGGATATACTGTAAAGTGAATTGACTGTATATTTTGTGGGTGAAACGCGGCAGCCAATTGTGCACAGCAGCGTCCCACAAACAGCCGTGGACTGAGTGACTAAATTATTATTTTCATTTAAGTACCAGAATGCAGGGCAGGTTTAGGAAACTGGATCGCAGTGACACAATACAATGGACTGAATGGCCTCCTCCTGTGCTGGTAATGCCTTCTGTGTAACCTATTTGAGTTATTCCTTTTCGCAGACGCCCTACGCCAGGTCAGAGGTCTTCCTCATCGAGCTGCTGGAGAGGGTGTGTGAGCACATGGTGGAGTACGGGGAGATCGCAGACCCCAAAACCCACCGCAACAGCTACATCCGGGTCCGGACCCATAACAGTAAAAATCTGGATCTGCCTAACACCCAGGCTGATGCCGAACTTACCTCCAGCTTAAAGCATGCTGTAAGTGTGATCTGAGGATTAGCTGCTACAATGTGGAGATAACTTGTTGATGTTTAAAGTGTCCAAGTTGTAGACAAATTGCTTCATGTGAAATAAACCCATTGTCGGCCAAGAAACCTCCCTCCTGGCACAGTCTTTAATGTCTGGTCTGAGCAAAGGTGTGAATAGGGCAGGAGTTTTGATTTGTTCTCTTTGGTTTCTCAGTGTGAGAAGATTGCAGAGGAATATGAAGACGAGTTCATAGAGTTTTTCACCCGTGAGTCCAGCAACGTGAAGGACCAGTTGTGCAGCAAGAGAACAGGTAAAGGAACCTCTCTCCTGAAGGTGTGGGGAGCGTTTCACAATTGCACTCCTACATTCCCAATACCTCGCCCGACTGGCCAGGCTTCTGCTTGTTGTCTTCAGTTCCAACTGTGGAAGTGGCATCATAGCCAAGCCTCAGTGCAGCCTCCACAACTCCTCCCTCCACAGGATGCAGATAAATAATAATAATCCTTGCATTTGATACAGCGTCTTATCACATCTTCTCGACGTCTCAAAGCGCTTCACAGGATATACTGTGAATTGATTGTATATTTTGTGGGCGAAACGCAGCAGCTAATTGCGCACAGCAGCGTCCCACAAACAGTCGTGGATTGAGTGACCAAATTATTATTTTTTTTTCTTGAGGGATTATTATCAGGCGCGTGGAGTAGGGAAACGAACCCACTTGTGAGACGAGTGCGCTTACCACTGAGCTCAGGACTCCACCAGAACATCCTGTGTCCTCTTCCAAATTAGGCTCCGTGACCCTATCACCCCCATCCTCGCCCGACTCCACTGGCTTCCCATCACACAGAGGATACAGTTCAAGATCCTGGTCCTCACCTTCAAAGCCCTCCATGGTCTTGCTCCCACCGACCGCTGCCACCTCCTGACCCACCATCCTGCTCACTCACTCCGCTCAGCTTCATGTCCCCACCTCACTCGCCCCACCATTGCCGGACGGGCCTTCAGCCACTCTTCCCCCACCTCTGGAACTCCATCCTGAATCCCTCCACCTCGCCCCTTCAAGACCCGTGTCAAGACCCTCTTCGACCAAGCCTTCGGTCACCCTCCTACCCCTGCCCTCCCCGCTGTCCACCCCTACTGATCCCAACCTCCAGCTCGGGTGCAGATCCCTGATTGTCCAGGGCTTTATGACGTCCTGAAGTGAAAGGTGTCGTGTAAATGTCATTTGTCGTTGTTGTTTACTCAATATAACTGCAAATTATTGTTTAAGGAATGGAAACTGGTATAAGAACTCCAGATTAATGTATGATTGACTTCCTGGCTATGAGTGGACTTTGCCTGCTTGCTTTGCCAATACAGTCACTGCACGTGATTAATTATTGTGATGTTTTGATCTTAACGATGTTATAAAAATGCAAATTTTTCTGTTCCTGTTGTTCTCAGACCTGTGTGACCACGCTCTCTACATACCTCACGACGAGCTGTGATGATTGCCGCCCACTTCAAGCTCCACAATGGCTCCACACCAGCTAATCTGTGACCCCGGCACAGGCAGGAGCCGAAAGATTATTCAACAACCCGTTCAAAACTTGTGCCAAGTCACTGTTCAAACCATGTCCTCAAAGTCATTCCCCTCGTTGCCCGTTTCTGGTCCGTGTGCCCAGAGATCTGTAGGGGCTGCTTTTAGCATTGTTGGGACGCTGACACCTCAAAGCTTTTCATGTGACTTTTGTAAGGTACCAAATCAACTCAGGAAGCGATTACTAACAGCACCGACCTTTATTTATTGGCAATTTGTTAGCGAGGCAATCGATCTCAATATCCACCTGCTTCGATGTGAAATAAATTCTCTATCAAATGATTTATTAATTCCTTCACTCTTTAGATAATATATATATCATATGCCCAAAGCTTCCTCTGCCAGCGGGGGAGTGGCGGGGTGTGTATACTGCAGGAACAATGACACAGGTGGGTGAACCTGGACCTTCAGGTCTGCACTTGTGACAACGCTGATCGTCCCTCTTTTTAATCTGCAGTAAATTTTATGCCCAAGTCTCTCTCTCTCCCCCTCCCCCTCATATCCTTATAAAACTTTCCAGCCTCACCACATGCCATGGCCTGACCAGCCTGTCAGGGCTTGTAGTAGACACACTGTGAACCAGAATCTGACAAACCTCCAGCACTGGAGCGATGTGTTCCATCCTGATAATCCTGCTCTTTCCATGTTCCCATTAATATTGTTCCTCTTTCAACATTGATTCGACTCCCCTTCAAATACAACAACAACAATATATTTGTAAAGCACCTTTCACATCGAGAGTCACTGGGTTGGTGTGTGGGAGAGGGAGAGACTGGGCTGATGTGTGGGAGAGAGGGAGATGCTGATGTTATGGGATCAATTCCTTTTCCACAAACAGATTTTCCACTGACAAAGTGCAACTTTGTGTTTGTGACCAGCGGCCTGGATTCTGTTAAGCGCCATCACATCCTCATCAAGTTAAACACAGTCACACTGTTGTGTGTTGCTCATTGTTGGACTGTATACATTCTGAACAGTCACAGCTGGCTTTAGTCAAACTGTTTTTTCAATTTTTATTAAAAAATATCCAATTGGCCAAATGCTGATTTGTGCTTTCATGGGAGCGTGTGAGAGAGTTACTGTGTGTGAGTTATTGCGTGTGTGAGTAAAATGTATTGTTCGTGTGAGAGTTACTGTGTGTGTGTATAAGAGAAAGAGTTACTGTGGGTGTGTGTGAGAGAGTGACTGTAAGACCATAAGATGCAGGAGTAGGCCATTCGGTCCCTTGAGCCTGCCCCGCCATTTAATAAGATCATGGCTGATCTTCTCATTTAATTCCATTTACCCACCCTATCCCCATATCCCTTAATCGCTCTGGGCTGGTGTGGGAGAGAGAGTGACTGGGCTGGTGTGTGGGAGAGGGAGAGAGTGACTGGGCTGGTGTGTGGGAGAGGGAGAGAGTGACTGGGCTGGTGTGTGGGTGGGGGAAGAGAGAGAGACTGGGCTGGTGTGTGGGAGGGGGAAGAGAGAGAGTGACTGGGCTGGTGTGTGGGAGGGGGAGAGTGTGACTGGGCTGGTGTGTGGGAGGGGGAGAGAGTGACTGGGCTGGTGTGTGGGTGGGGGGGAGAGTGTGACTGGGCTGGTGTGTGGGAGGGGGAGAGAGTGACTGGGCTGGTGTGTGGGTGGGGGGGAGAGTGTGACTGGGCTGGTGTGGGAGGGGGAGAGAGTGACTGGGCTGGTGTGTGGGAGAGGGAGAGAGTGACTGGGCTGGTGTGTGGGAGGGGGAGAGAGTGACTGGGCTGGTGTGTGGGAGAGGGAGAGAGTGACTGGGACGGTGTGTGGGAGGGGGAGGGCGATCCCCAGGCCTGAGTACAGGGTCTTGTACAGACATAACGAGAGGACAGAAGTCACTGGGAACACTTAACAGGTCAGGAAGCATCTATGGAGAGAGAAAAGTGAGTTAACGTTCACTCATTTTCCTCTTTCCTTTCTGTACATGCTGCCTGACCTGCTGAGTGTTCCCAGTGACTTCGGTTTTATTTCAGATTTCCAGCATCTGCAGGATTTTGCCTTTCGATTACAAGAGATGACTTGCAGGGGAAGGAATTACACTGGGAGCACTGACACAGTGTGCAGCCCTACACACCCAGGATTCAGTAGTGTTTTATTACATTAACAAATGTTCAGAAAAATAACACCTGAAATAAAAAATAACAAAACCTGGAAATACAATAATTGCAGAAAATAGCTCTGAGCTGTTCCTGATCTCAACCGGGCAGCAGATTGTCTGAGTTCCCCCATTTAGGGGGAAGAATATCAGCCAAGGTTCCCCCCCACCTCCCCCTGCCCCTGTGTGTGTGAGGACGTGAGGTGAGGAGCATAGCCCAATGACCTGAGGCACTCTCACAAGACTTACACAAGATCTCAAAATAAACCCATCTTTAATTCTGGATCACCTTGGAACTAACAGACAATTCTAATAGCAACTGGCTGATGTTAACATTAAATATACTATTAAAAGATGTGCACACGTTAGGAGATAAGGTAACCCAGCGTGTGTCAGGGCGTCAGGGGAAATCAGGGTGGAGGAGGGGGTTAAAGAAGTGGGGAGGAGAACCTCCTAAATATACACCACACACGTTCCCCAAACAAGATATGGAAGATGGCAAGGACACAATCATCACAACCCCTCTCTAGCTCAGAGTTACCCCGTTTAATCTGATCACACTTTGATCTCTACCTTACTACAGCAGGAAGTTGGGACAAGACACGACACCCGATGTTTGTAAACTTAGTCTGCAGCAGTGGGTGTTGGGGAGGCCTGGCTTTCTCTCAGGCCTCACTCTCCCCCGCTGTGGCGTTCTGCACCTCCTCCTCCAGGATGGGCACGATCAGGTTATCCTTGGACATCAGGCTGTACTTGATGACAAACTTGGTGAAACGGTGACACAAGAAGGTTTCGTTCTGTGGAATTTGGGGAAGAAACCATCAATAGAACTGTCGCTAACTTGGATGCCTGGTCACAGTGTGAATCCAAGGTTACCCACCTCCTCCTGAGGTGGGCAACCTCGGCTGTAAACAATCTCGATCAGGGCAAGAGCTAGACACTACACCTGGTAAGATCCCTGATGGGATCTGGCACAGGCATGATGGGCCAAACGGCTTCTTTCTGTGCTCTAAAGGTCTCTGATCACATGTTCCATCGTTCCTTTGCTTTTCCCGTCAAGCAGGACAACAGATCAAGCGCGGGGGACAATGGTCAGAGTTGAGAACCGCTTTACCTCGTAATCATCGAAGATCTGGCGGTGGTGGAAATAGGCGTGGGAGAATATCCGGTAGATTCTACGGCACACCGAGCCCAGCTTGGCCACGGACGACTCTTTGATGCTGACTCTGTGAGCCACAAAAACCATCGCAATTACCAAATAACCGGTACAAACATCGCAGTGTTAGAAACAGGTGACAAAGAGAAACTGAAATGAGTAATAATTATCCTTCCATTTGATACAGGGCCCAAACACTCTTTACAGACTATAGCAATCAAGTGTAATCATTATATTTTGTGCACAGTGAGTTCCCACAAACAGGCAAGCAGTGAATGAGATATTTATCTGGCAGATTGTCAACCTGGACACCAGGAAAATCTTTTCTAATAATGTTTTGAGATCTCTAACATCCACTTTAATCAGCACAGATGAGACTTTGATTTAATGTCTCACCCAAATGTTCAACATTTATTATATAAAATAAACAGGACAAAGCCGGTAAGATCAGTTATATGAGTAAATATCGGCATGAGGCTACAGATCTCGAGTGGTTTACGCTCCTCGTCTACTCGGGGCACACAGGCCACAGACCCAAACCAAGCTGTAGACTTACCTGCTGGGAAAGTACTTGTTACTGTTTAGCAGGCAGGCTGCACCATCTAGTGTGTGCCTGGTGTAATCAATGGCAGGACACTGAAAAGCAGAGGAACAACTTACATTTATACAGCGCATTTCAAGTAAAATAAAACTCTCAGCTCTTTACAAAAATCACACTGATTATAGAGACGTTGCGTTTACCTCCTTTGGAGTCTTGTGAGCAGCACACAGGAAAATCCACTGCTCCGTGGCTGTCATTTGGGTGCATGTGTCTGAGTGGCATTCGCTCTGCGGGAACCAGCGATTAACAAATGTCATCTCATTGGTAAGTCCGACAAACACAGTGTGTGAGAAACTACAATCTATTGTTTCCTCGTCAAATTGTGTGCGTGGCCAGACAGTACATAGAGGATGCTTTACTCTATCCCTAACACATGCTGGGAATAGGCTGGGAGTATTGGATGGATACTGTGGAGGGAGCTTTACTCTGTTTCTAACACCATGCTGTACCTAGGGCCTGAAACGGAATAGTGTCCCAGCATTAACATCGCTCATTCTGATGAGTAGAATAATTTTCTCACCTGCAGCTTCACAGCCAAGTCATTCAATTCAAGGCAGAACTGCCTGAGATTAAACAAAATGAGACGGTTATTTTTAAACTACTGTCTGCAAAATTCACATTAATACAAAATGATTAAGCGATCAAACAAAGTGAGACAGAGCTCAGAAGGTGAAACTGTTTTTAAACCAAGAAACAAACCTGTCTTTGTGGGTGACAGAATTTTTCTCTCACCTCCATCAGTTTCAGTGGCATAACCTCAAGGTTTTAGCTGGAACTTCAAAGTTAAAACTGCCAAACTGAAATGGAATTAAAGAACTTTCTATATGTGGGCCATCTTTAATTTGAAATTAATGTTCATAAGGGGGATGTTTTGGGTCCCAGATCTCGCTCAGCCAGCTGTGGGGAACAACAACTTGCACTTATACAGCACACTTCATGTGGGTAGCATCTCGAAGCACAAAAAAGTACGTGGTCTGTGGATTTTCCACCAAGAATCTATGCGTGAGACATGTGGTAAAATTTAACCAAAGCTCAATCATCTTGTGAAATTTCACGGATTGTTACCACTGGATCTGAGTAACAATCCTTCTGCCCCAAGCAAACATTACAGCAAACGAGGCAGAGCCTAGAGGGATGGGGAGGCCAAGGAGGGCAGTGGGTGGTCAATGCTATGCCCTTTCAGCCCTGAGTTTGAATCTAAGATGACAGCAGGCACTGACCTGAAGAGCAATGATAAGAACAGCTTACCGAAGATGTTCATATTTCCAGACCCCCTCGTCCTGGCCATCAGGGGGCTCCAAGATTTTCTCAATGTCGGATGCATCGTCCCTTATGCTTTGCTGAATGTACTGGAAGAAACCAAAAGACCTTTCTTTAAACTATCATCTTCCTGGAATACACAGTCACTACACTTGACAGCAATTATCTTGAATGTGCTTTGAGACATGTCCACGTTGCAATCAAATACATGGTTTAATATTATGTGATAAGAGAGAAAAGTTGTTCAATAAACTTTTAGGCATTAAATCAATCTTGGCTTTGCACCAAAGCTAGTCTGCCCCAAGGCTCAATTTATAGAAAATTAGCACTTACTGAAGACTTTCTTATAAATAACACAAACGTTACAAGATTGGATGGACAGAAATGTGTTTGTCCATCCCCTTCTCCTGAAGATACAGACTTTCCCTTGCACCGGTCAGGCGGTGGGGGGGTGGGGGGAGTGGGAGCTGTAGTTGGTACCTTGACCATTCTTCGTGTGCCCCACCAGACAGCAAATGTTGGCAGGGAATGCAAACTGAGATCAAAGTCAAGCTCCAATCCTGCCCTCACATGACCTCCACATACATTTCTGCCATTTATTCCCAAAACTGCTGGGTCCACTGACGTCTCAGCTGAGATCAGTGAATTCAGCACAGACTGGGGAGCAAACTAAGGCTCTGCCTGGTCTGCGCGGCTCAACACTGTACCAGACTGCTTATTAACATGTTCTTGTTTTCAATATACATTAGAATACATTAGAATATACAGCACAGAAACAGGCCATTCGGCCCAACTGGTCTATGCCGGTATCTACGCTCCACATAAGCTTCCTCCTGCCCTTTCCCAACTAAGCCTTCAAGCATCACCTTCTAAAAGCTGATCACAGGTAATGAGTTCCTCAGTTAGTGATCCACACCTCACCTGCTGTACCGCCAACGTACTGTCCATCTCGTCAAGAGATTCATCTGGCCAATTGTAAAAATCCTACCGAGGGAAGAACACACATGATTCACAAAGTGCTGTAGTAACTTGTGCCAACATCACAGGGAAAGCAGAGCCACCCTCCCTCACATTCCCCGGGAGAAACTAAAAATAAGTCAAAGAAATGCTTAATAAAATTAATATAAATAAAAATGATAATGGAGAAAATAATGAGACTCAAGATAGACCTTATAGTTTCTACCCCAGGGTGTTAAAGGAAATAGGAGGAAATTGCAGATGCATGTCAGAATTTTCCAAAGCTCATTAGATTCGGGAATTGTGCCCTTAGATTGGAAAATTGCGAATGTCACCCCTTTATTTAAGGGAGGGAGAGAGAAACCAGGAAACTACAGACCTGTCAGTTTAACATCAGTTGTTGGGAAAATACTCGAATCCATCATCAGTGACTGAACACTTGGACAGGTAATGAGCTCGTCAAAGAGAGTCAGCATGTGTTTGTGAAAGGCAGCTTGTCTGACTAATCTAGTTGATTTTTTTGAGGAGGTCACTAAAATGATAGATCAGAGAGTGCCCATGGATATCATTTATATGGATTTTCAGAAGGCATTTAATAAGGTTCCACACAAAAGATTATTAGTGAAAATGGAAGCGCATGGAGTCGAAGGTAACCTTGTGACATGACTCTGTAATTGGTTGGGAGGCAGGAAACAAGAGAAGGGATAAAGGGATGTTCTCTAATTGGCGGGATGTGACAAGTGGTATCCTCCAAGGGTCTGTACTGGGACCCCAGCTATTGGCCATATTATATATTATATAAACATTACTTGGATGAAGTTAAACTTGGGAAGTTTTATGTCCAAGTTTGCAGACGACACTAAGCTAAGAGCCGAAATAAGTTGTGTAGATGGGAGTAGGAAGTTACAAAGGGATTTAGACAGATTAAGTGAGTGGGCAAAGCTGTGGCAGATGGAGTTCAATGTAGGGAAGTGCGAGGTCATCCACTATGGACCGAAGAAAAAGCAGAATATTTTCTTAATGGGGAGAGACTAAGAACTGTGGAGAACCAAAGGGATTTGAGTGTTCATATCCACAAATCACTAAAACTAGTTTCCAGGTGCAAAACGTAATCAAAAAGGTGAATGGAATGTTGGCCTTTATCTCAGGGCCTGGAATACAAAGGGGAAGAAATGGTGCTTTAGCTGTAAAGAGCGTTAGTCAGACCCCATCTGGAGACTGCATTCAGTTTTGGGCACCCAACCTCAGGAAAGATACATTGGCCCTGGAGGGGGTGCAGCGCAGAATCACCAGAATGTTATCAGGCCTAAAAGGGTTAAGTTACGAGGAAAGGCTGCGTAAACTTGGATTGTATTCCCTTGAGTTTAGAAGGTTGAGGGATGATTTGATTGAGGTATTTAAGATGATAAAGGGATTTGATAGGATAGATAGAGATGCTATTTCCTCTGTTGGTGAATCCAAAACAAGCAGCATAGTCTGAAAGTTAGAACCAGGCCATTTAAGAGTGAAATCAGGAAGCATTTTTTTTATTCAAGGGGTGGTAGAAATCTGGAATTCTCTCCCCAAAAGGCTGTGGATCCATCCATACCTTCAATAACAACAATTTGGATTTATATAGCGCCCTCCACGCTGGACGGCATCTCAGAGCGCTTCACAGTAACGGATCCTGGGGCTGAGCCGGGGGGAGGGGGAGGGAGAGGAAGGTGAACAAAGGCGCGGTTGAAAAGAAAGCTCTTTAGCCGAGACCTGAAAATGGGATGAGAGGGGGAGAGGCAAAGGGAGTGAGGAAGGGAATTCCAGAGCCTCGGGGCATAATGGCTGAAAGCATGGCGGCCGATGGTGGAGCGGAGGACTCGGGGGACGAGGAGGAGGCCAGTCCCAGTCAAGAGTGAGGTTGATAAATTTTTGGTAGCTCAGGATATCAAGGGATATGGGGAAAAAGCCGGAAATTGGAATCAACAGGATTAGATGAAAGTACAGATCAGTCATGACCTAATTGAATGGCGGAACAGGCTCAAAGGGCTGAATGGCCTCCTCCTGTTCCTATGCACCTACTATGCACTTCTATAGATGCTTTCACATTGGTTAATGCCTTACCCCTTTGAGGAACAGTGAGAGTATGAGGATGTAATAATAATCCTTGAATTTGATACAGCACCTTGTAACACTGTCAAGTCTCAAAGCCATGACTGCAGGCATGGTCAGAGAGGAAAGTCTTCAGGTGTAACCTGAAGTCAGGTAAAGAGAGGGCAAGACAGAGGGACTGAGGTAGAGAGTTCCAGAGGTTCGGGGCGCAGTTAGGGTTGGCAAGGTTGGCATGGTGGAGCGGAGAGGACGAGGGCCTCGCAGAAGCTGAACAATGAGGCTGCAGGACACTGGGGAGTGAAACTCGCTTCTCTTTTCGAACAGCACAATGTTCAGCTTTGTGATGTCACTGACACGATGAGGCGTGATATCAAATACAAAGATTATTATTGATTGTTGGACACAAAACTCTTTCTGCCCCAGCCCCGCCCCGCCCCAACCACCCCCAGCCCCGCCCCAACCACCCCCAGCCCCGCCCCAGCCCCGCCCCAACCACCCCCAGCCCCGCCCCAACCACCCCAGCCCCGCCCCAACCACCCCAGCCCCGCCCCAACCACCCCCAGCCCCGCCCCAACCACCCCCAGCCCCCAGCCCCGCCCCAACCACCCCCAGCCCCGCCCCAACCACCCCCAGCCCTGCCCCAACCACCCCAGCCCCGCCCAGCCACAGGTCAGCCCCCAGCCCCAGCGCAGCCCAGCCCCAGGCCACTGTGCAACAGCTGGTTTATACGCTCTCAGGGGCTGATGGCGTAGAGCTGAGTATAACCAGCTGACCACCAACAGGCTGGGCTGGTGCAGCAAGGACAACAACAACAAATGACATTTATAGAGCGCCTTTCATGTCAGGAGGACGTCCCAAAGAGGGAAGGCAGAGAGGTGGTGTAGGGGGAGGCGTGGGGGGGGTGGGGGGGAGGGGTGGGGGGGAGGTGGGGGAGGCGTGGGGGGGAGGGGTGGGGGTGGGGGGAGGGGTGGGGGAGGGGTGGGCGGAGGCGTGGGGGGAGGTGGGGGGGGGGAGGTGGGGGGGAGGTGGTGGGGGGGGAGGGGAGGCAGAGAGGTGGGAGAGAGACCAAAGGTACGGTCGAAGAGAAGGGTTGAGACCGGCCTTGAAGGAGGTGAGGGAGGAAGTGAGGCCGAGGGACCGTGGGATGGAGCTCCAGAGTGTGGGGGCACAGAGGCTGAAGGCCACCGATGGGCGGGAGACATGGAGCAGCCGGAGCCCAATGAACAGACAACAGGAACGGTTTCTTTGCACAGAGTCTCTGAGAATAAAAATAAAATCAATTGAGGCACTTTTTTCCCTTCAAGGACACACCGCGCGGTGGGCCTGAGTGACAGGCGGTTAGACCAATCGGAGCTCGCAAGCGGGTATCACGGCCAATCAGCGCCCTCATGGGGCGGGACTTCCGCTGCCCTGGCGCCGGAACAGGGTCTGACCATCGCCAACAGCCTCAGCAGCGCTTGGGGGTCACTGCAGAAAAAGGCGCTGAGGCCGTGAGGAGACACAAGGCCCGAGCGGCAGCGGCGCCGCCTCCCGCCCCGTCACTCGGTGTCTCAGGGCCGCCCGTTACCTGCGCTTTGGTTCCCGGACGATTTCTCCTCAGCAGAACCGTGGTCGCCATCGCTCCAGAGTGCCCGGATCTTATTAAAGGCGCCGCCTTCCTCCGCATTACCCACTGCCGACCCGAAATGCGTTAAAGGGGAAGTGCACAAACACCCAGCCCTCCCCCTTGTGGGCAATACTCTTGTTGACTTCAGGGGAATGGAAAATAATCCTTTATAATTTTTTTTAAAAATTCTAGGCTGACGTTCCAGTGCAGCACTGGGAGTGGGTTGCATTGTCGGAGGTGCCGTCTTTCGTATGCGACCATATCCTGTTGTCTTGTTCGGGTGGGAGTTAAAACTCCCCCCAGTACTTCTGAAAATGGGGAGTTTATGCCGGGGTCCTGGCAGATGAACCCCCAGATAAAATTGGTCATTCACTTGACAGCTCTTTGTGAAATATTGCTGTGCACAAATTGGTTGCCACATTTATATAATAATAATCCTTGCATTTGATATAACGCTTTTCCTTACAAATACACAGTCACTGCACTTTATCTAATCGTGAAGTACTTTGAGACATCTCAATTTAAGAACATAACAAACGGTAGACGAAAGAAAGACCAAGATCCACCTAGTTCGCCTTCCACCTTCCCTGGGTCGCATATGTCCCGAACTCCCTATATACTATGTGCCATAATGTTATTTTCCAAAAGAAAACTTATCTAATCTGTGTTTGATGGAATCAACATTTCCTGCTTCAACTGTCTCCCTAAGGAACCTATTCCACAGGTTCATTATTCACTCACTGAAATAGTGTTTCCGTAGATTTGTTCTGAATTGACCCCCCTTTTCAATCCTGTCCTCCAGTTTTACTATTCTGGACTAGTTGAAACAGTCTGTCGTGATTTACATTGTTTAGCCCTTTTAGAATGTTAAAAACCGCCATCATATTGCCTCTCAATCTTATTTCCAGTGTGAACATGCCCAATTTACTTAGTGGCTCCTCACAGTCCAATCCCTCCATTCCCTCGATCACTTTGGTTGGCCTCCCCTGTATCTTCTTGATTCCTCCAATATCCTTTTTGTACTGCGGTGACCAGAACTGTACACAGCCTCTAAGTGTGGTCTCACCAATGATTTATACAGTGGCAGGATTGCCCCACTATTTTGGCTCGTTATTGATCTCTTGATACATCCCAACATCTGGTTTGCTTTACTCACTGCTACAGAGCATTGTTGTGAGAGATTCAATTTATTGTCAATCAGGACCTCCTGAACCTTTCATTTTCCATATATTATTTTCCTTCCATTGAAATATTAGTCCCTTCCAGGATTTTGTGTCCATGTGAAGTACTTTACATTTCTCCACATTTGAGTTTCATCTGCCACCAGTCTGCCCAATTCCCAAGTATCTCCCTCTCTCCAATGGTTTCACCCCTTCGTTCCTTCTCTCCCTTCCATTGTATACAACAACAACATTATACATTTGTGTAGTGCCTTTCAAATCAGGAGGACTTTGTCATGGACACATTATTGTTTGCTACAATGTTGTTTTGGCCAGAAAAGAGCCTTGTAGTCACCCAGTTGGCATGGCCACTGTAACATAATTCAGCGGGGAGACACCATGATTGAATACTCCCTAGAAACAGGGGAGGCTCCACCATTGTTAAGCACTCTGCGACGCTACATAAATGTTGTTTATTGTCCCTCCATCGAGTCCTGGACGAGAGACAACTTTCTTCAGCTCAACGTGCGAAAAACCGAGGCCCTCCTGATTGGCTCACGTCAGCGCCTCCGCACCTCAGGCGCTGACACCATCAGCATCCAAGGCTGCACTCTCCACCTCTCAAAGCCAGTCAGGAACCTCGGCGTTTTGTTCGACCCTGAGCTGTCCTTTCTCCCTCACATCCGCACTACAACTGGCACCGCCTTCCATCACCTTCGGAACATCGCCAGACTACGGCAGTACCTCACCCCTCACGCTGCTGAAACCCTGGTCCACGCCTTTGTCACCTCAAGGCTGGACTATGGGAACTCTCTCCTCGCCGGCCTTCCCGCCACCTCCCTCCACAAGCTGCAGGTCATTCAGAACTCTGCAGCTCGTGTACTGTCCCGCACCAGGCTTCGCGACCACATCACTCCCACCCTCGCTCGCCTCCACTGGCTCCCCATCCCCCAGAGGATTGATTTCAAGATCCTCATCCTCACCTACAAGGCTATTCACGGCCTTGCTCCCTCCTACCTCTCCAACCTACTATCCCCCTACCTACCTGCCCGTACCCTCCGTTCCTCTGGCTCTGGTCTGCTCCACGTCCCCCGCCCCAACCGCCCTACCATCGGTGGTCGGGCCTTCAGCCTCTCAGCCCCCAGGCTCTGGAACTCCATCCCCCAGTGCCTTCGCCTTGCTTCCTCCCTTTCCTCCTTCAAGGCCGGTCTCAAAACCTTTCTCTTTGACCGTGCCTTCAGCTCCCCTCTCGACTCTCTTCCCCCTCCTCGCTCCCTCCCTTCCCTCCCCTCACCCTGACCATTTCCCCCTCCTTGCTCCCTCCCTTCCCTCACCCTGACCATTTCCCCCTCCTCGCTCCCTCCCTTCCCTCCCCTCACCCTGACCATTTCCCCCCTGCTCGGGTCATGACCCAACTGTGCAGCGCCTTGGGACGTCCTCCTGACGTGAAAGGCGCTTTATAAATGGAATCTTGTTGTTGTTGTTGTTGTTGTTGTCGTCGTTGATTCCCGCTTTCTTTACTTTCAGTGCCAGCCTCTCAAGAGGAACTGTATCAAAGGCCTCACTGAAATCCAGATATACAACATCCACAGCCTTACCCTAATCAAGCTCCCATGTCACACCGTCAAAGAAAACCAGTAAATTAGATTGGCAAGACCTCCCCTTCATGAACCCATATTGGTTTTTACGATCTTATTTCTGTCTAGATGCTCCGTAATTTTATCCTTAATAGGAGTCTCCATAATTTTACCCACAAAGGACATCAAACTTACTCATAGAATCATAGAATTCTACAGACCAAAAAGAGGCCATTCGCCCATCAAGTCTGTGCGGCTCTTTGAATAGAGCAATGTAATGTCAGTCCCACTCCCCGGCCCTTTCCCCATAACCTGCAAACCCGTCCTCCTCAAATACCCGTCCACCGCGTTTTTAAAAGCAGTTATTGAATCGGCCTCGACCGCCCTTTCAGGCAATGCATTTCAGATTCGAACAACTCGTTGCGTGAAAACATTTCTTCTCACCTCCCCTCGGCTTCTTTTAGAGACTATTTTGAATCTGTGACCTCGAGTCACCGACACTCCCACCAGTGGGAACAGTTTCTCCCTTTCTAACCTATCAAATCCCCTCATGATTTTGAAGACCTCTATTAGGTCCTCGTAACCTTCTCTGCTCCAATGAGAATTATCTCGGCCTCTCCGGCCTTCCAATTTTTTTTATTTTTTTGTTTTTTTTGTTTTTAATTTGCTGTCAGTGTTGTGGTTTCTGACAGTTTGTCGATGTTTTGTCCTGGTTCTGCTGTTGAAAAAAATGACGTCACACCTACGTCACTTTTTCTTTTTTCGTCGTCGTCGCTCTGACAGTTCCAACAGCTTACCCCGTTCTGTCCTGATTGCTCTCGCAGAGTCTTACTGGTCTATAATTTCCTGGTCACTTATTAACTTTCTTGTAACATCTGCCTATTTCGAGTTTCCCGGAACCTCTCCAGTATTCAGTGATCTCTGAAAGATTTATGCCAGTATTTCTGCGACTTCGTCCATTAGTTCTTTAAGGATCCTCGGATGCAATTTATCCAGCCCCTGAGATTTATTTACCTTTGCACAGCTGTTTAGCAACCATGCTTGTAGTGATATAAATAGTGTTGCAGCTTTTCTCTACAACATCCTTGAGTTCTCTTTCCAGATCAGATAGGTTACCTATCTCCTCCTTAGCAAAAACTCATGCAAAAACTTATTTAGCACTATTTCAACCTGCAGCAATCCACCTTCAGTGGCCCTATTCCATCATTTGTTTTTCTTTTACTTTTACTGTAACTGAAAAACTTTTTGTGATTATCTTCACATCTCTTCCAAGGTTCAATTCAAAGTTTTTCTTTGCCAATCTGATGCCTGTTTTGCAGTCTTGGCATCAAATCTGACTTAATTCTGTGCCATTTCCTTCATGGCCTTAAATCCCTTGTTTTTCCTCTTGATGAGTTGCTTTGTAACTCCATCCAATCAGGCAGGAATGCCTTTAAGTTTGTTACCTTTACTTTGCATTGGGTCCCCTCTTTCAAGTCCCACCTGAAAACTTTCCTGTTTGACCATGTTTATGGCCATCTCACCATTCCAGGCTCCGCCACTCTTAAGCGCTCTGAGACACTACCCAGTGTGGAGGGCACTATAGAAGTGCAAGTTGTTGTTGTACACATTGTTCCATTGCCTTCATAATCACTTTGTAGAAGGAGCTCCATAGGTCCTCTATTCGCTTCGCTAGATTTAAGGCTGCCAGGCCCACCCCGACTAGATTCTCAAGCGCACAAAGTCAGTCCTCTAACAATTTGGCAGTTTTGTTTGGATTTTTATGATCTCACCAATTCTTGTGATGTCAAATGTGATTATATTGTGATCGCTGTTGTTAAATGCTTCTCTCACCTTTATGTTGGAGATTTGATCGTCCCTGTTGCTCATTGTCAAATCCAAGATGTTATCTGCCCTTGTTGGCTCTTTTACAAACTGAGTCATAAAACAGTCTTCCTTTAACTCTAGAAACTCCTAGCCTATTTTACCAGTGGATACATTATTATCCCAGTCAATTTCTAGTAAGTTAAAATCTCCAACTACTGTGGTTCGTCCCTCACCTTCCTTATCTCATCCCATAGCTCCAGATTGAGGCTTTCACCTTGGCCTGGGGATCTATAATAATAATAATAATCCTTGTATTTATAACAGACCCTCAGTAGTAGTTTATTTCTGTTGCCATCAATTAATTCAACCCAAAGTGATTCTATGTGATTATAGTTTCAAGCTGAAAAGGTCATTGCTAAAGTGAGCAGCAAATTGAGGCAGATTGCAAAGGAAGCTAATTGAATAATGTCTCTTTACATGTTTTTGTTAGTTTTCCCGATGAGAAAATAAGTTATAGTTGACTTGCACATGCTACTTTAGGTCAATATATCCTTATATTTCCAAAGCTTTGGAAATTGTGACATGTCCTTGAGGAAAACACTGAGGAAGATAGCAAACCCACCAATTATGTTATTATGTTTTTCTGTCAAAATAACAGAATAAAGTTGTTTTACAGCACTTTCCTTCCAATGCAACACTTGGACAAACATAACGTCAATAGGAAAAACATATTTCACCAGTTAAGATATTCCCTTGCTCCAAATTCAGTCCATTACCTGGCGCCCACTACACATGGAGTCATTCACCTAATGTAGACAACGAAACCTGTTCAAAAAAGAATCCTACAGTGAACGTATTTGTATCCATCGCACAGAGGATACGGTTCAAGATCCTGGTCCTCACCTCAAAGCCCTCCATGGTCTCGCTCCCCCCGAGCTCTCCGACCTCCTCACCCCCTACCACCCTGTTCACTCCTTCCGCTCAGCGGGCTCCGGCCTGCTTCACATCCCCCGCCTCGTTCACCCCACTATCAGCGGGCGGGCCTTCCGCCACTCTGCCCCCACCCTCTGGAACCCCATCCCGCAGTCCCTCTGTCTCACCCCCTCCCTCTCCTCCTTCAAGATCCACCTAAAGACCCTCCTCTTCGACCGTGCTTTCGCTTACCCTCCTCCCCCCTCCCCCCCGCCGTCCCCCCCACCATCCCCCCTCCCCCCCGCCATCCCCCCTCACCCCCCCTCCCGTCCCTCCCGCCTCCCGTCCCCTCCCTCCCGCCCTCCCCCCGCCGTCCCCCCCCCCAGCTCGGGTCCAAAACACCATCTGTCCAGCGCCTTGGGCCGTCCTCCCGGCGTGAAAGGCCTTACACCAGATCATGTTGTTGTTGTTGTTGTGAAAGGCCTTACACCAGATCATGTTGTTGTTGTTGTTGTGAAAGGCCTTACACCAGATCATGTTGTTGTTGTTGTTGTGAAAGGCCTTACACCAGATCATGTTGTTGTTGTTGTTGTGAAAGGCCTTACACCAGATCATGTTGTTGTTGTTGTTGTGTGAAAGCAGTTTAGATACAAATATACACAACAGATACCCGGGAAATCAGGAGGTGGAGCCTCCTGACAGGAGCCTATGAGTGACAAGACAAGCGACCAATCGGAATGGCGGAGGCGGCAGATTGGCGGCCCAGTGTGAGTAGCCAATGGCGGAGCTCGGAAGGCGGGACCTCGGGGCTCCGAGCCCCTGTGGGCGGCGGAGAGCAGCCAATGGGAGGTGGAGGGCGGGACCAGGAACGTTCCCCGGTGACGTCCGCTCCGCGGTGACGCAGTGACGTCCGCTCGAGCTGCCGCCCGGAGACCTTTCAACCTTCGCGAGTCGGAGCAGCACCGCCGCCGCCATGTCTCTGCTCGTAGCCCACAGAGCGGCCGCCAGGCTCCTCGGCAGCAGCAAGGTGAGTGCCCGCCCGCCCGCCCGCCGGGGGAGCGGCGCCCGGCCCCGCCCGGCCCGGGAACTGTGAGGGGAGAGGCGAAGCACACTCTCGAGCGCCAGCTGCAGGCTTCACCCCGGGGCCTAGGCCACACACGCCTGTTACTATGGAGCTGTGGCCGCGCGGCCGTTGCTGGGTTGTGGGGGGGTGGAGGCGGGAGGGAGACCAGCGCCTCGGGTCGCCTTTCCTCCACTCGTGCTCTGCCCTGGCCGTCCCGTGGCTCCTCACCGTGTGACCCGGTGCCGTGACAGACATGTCTGGTTTCTCTTGAGGGTCATCCCAAGGTTCTCAGCCTCTCCTTCAAGGGGTAGAGTTTGTCCTTTATGGAAATCTCCCGTTTCTCGAGGGAAGGCTTTGTCCTCTCTCTCGTCAGGAAGCTCCAAGTCAATGACACATTCCGGAATTCCCTGCAGGATCCTCTCCCAGCGTATTTTGTGGTTGGCTGTCAGCATCTGATTCTTTTTTATTATACAGAACACTATATAATAATCCTTGTATCGGATACAGCGCCTTATCAAATCTTCCAGACGTCTCAAAGCGCCTCACAGGATACACTGTAAAGTGAATTGACTGTATATTTTGTGGGCGATCTTAAATCTTCCGTTTGGTGGCTCATTTTTTAAATGTCACCTTACTGACAGATTGGTTGGACAGAGAGGGGAGAAGAAAACAGGGGAGTTATTTGTGGGTGCCTCCTTGTTTTGTGTGGGGGGAATACAATGAATCAATCCGCTTTTTCCTTTTAGCTCTGAAGAGGGTTCACAAGCAAAATTCACAGGCTTGCAGACAGGATTCCCTAGAATACCCATGGAGTCCTGTAGCTCAGTGGTTAGAGCACTCACCTCACAAGCGTTTCCTTAAAAAGTTTCCTTACTCCACACACCCTGATAATAATCCCTCATGAAAAAAAACCCAAACCACAACTGTTTGTGGAATGCCACTGTGCCCAATTGGCTGCCCCATTTTGCCCACAAACATACATTCAATTCACTTTACGTATATTCTGTGAAGCCCTTTGAGACGTCTAGAAGATGTGAAAAGTGCTATATCAAATCCAAGGATTATGTATATATATTGTAATATAAAAAGTAACAGGGTTGCAGCTCAACATTCTTGTATATATAGTCCAATTCTAGTATTTTTTTATGCATTTTACCATACTGAAATAGCCCCAATGAGTCCATTCTTTCCTTTGGGTTGGTGGCTAAAGGTGCTATATAAATGCAAGTTGCTGTGTGAAAAAAAATTCTAGTTCTAAATGTACTATTCATTAATTTTCATTTGTGTCCTCTCGCCCTGCTTTTCAAGCTTACTTTCAAGTGATAATTTGGATTTGCATGACATTTGGATGAGTAATTTATACTGATTCGTGCAGGTAGAATGCAGTAATTTAGCAGGATTCAGATTGGCTGTTAGCATTTTGCACTTTGGAAATTAATCACTGATTTCTCTGCAGCCTCAGCCCTTCACATTTTGCTATCCCCAAACTACTGACAGGTGGGCACCCAATCTGCTTTGAGACACTTGAGATCAATTTCTGCTCCAACACATTGTACTATTCAGCTTATGTTCTATCAAAGATTATCATAAAAATCCATTTTGCATTTTTTTTAGCTGGCTAATTGATATCCAGATCCTTTTTGAATTTGCTGCATTTAGCTAAGGGGTGACACTTTATGTATTGAGTATTAGCTTCACTTTAAATTCCGTTTCTGGTGCAATAATAATAATAACCTTTGCATTTGATATAGCGCTTTTCACGTCGGGAGGACGTCCCAAAGCGCTTCACAGAATATACTGTAAAGTGAATTGACTGTATATTTGTGGGCGAACGCGGCAGCCAATTGCGCAGAGCAGCGTCCCACAAACAGTCGTAGATTGAAAATGACCAATTTATTATTATTTTCGTTTTGGAGGGAATATTATTAGGCTCTGTGTGGAGTAAGGAAACTTGCCCGAGGTTTCGCCCTCTGCCTGGAATTGAACTCAGGTCTCTCACTTGCAAAGCGAGTGCTCTAACCACTGAGCTACAGGACTCCAAATTATCAAACCTGTACATTTCATTTAACACTATTTACTCTTGTTGGTTGGATTTCTTGATCATCAGTTTTACATAAATGCGTATAAAGTTAGGACTGCAGAAAATTAGGAAGTTTAACGGATTTACAGTTTTTGTTGCTTGTTGAGGGAAAATGCCTTTTCTAGTTATAAATGTAATATTTCCAATGTTTTGAGAAAATCTTTTGAGGAAACTCTTGCAATATTTGTAAAGATAGCTATGAACAAACACAAAACTGCTTAGCAAAATGAGTGACTATGAAATGTATCGGCTGTTACATATGCAAGTGTAGCAAATAATTTATGCCAATTGCGCCAATTTGTCCCAAGCACAAAGCAGCAATGAGATGAGCCACTGAATACAGATGAGGGTGAAATATTGCTCAGGATATAGTGTGCGCCTGCACCACCAGAACAGACACAAGTTGATCAACTATCACAGTTGTCAGAGAGCGGTCTGGGTCTTGCACATCCTCCCCTCTCATTTCCCTACACTGTTGGGATAGCTGAAAACTGAGGATGCTGGTCTTTCTAATCCTCTGCATACAGGATATACTTTTCCTCCTGTTCTCTGATCGCTCGCATTACACATTTTTGTTACTTTCCTCCCAGCATTGCCTTTGTCTATCTCCTGTTTTTTGTGGCTTACTTTGCTAGGTCATCTTTTCTGTTTAGTCTTTCTATGGATGGGGGTGGTTCAGCTTTAACTGTACAATTTTCCCCCAATGGACGTGCACAAATAAATGTGGCTCGGTCAGTTTCTCATGCTATTTTTGATAGGTCCTCTCTAGTGGTTTTGTAAGGCAGTGATGTCCAGCTCAGGGTTTTGGTGAATCTCAGTTTTTCAGAAACACACTTAGAGGCTCTGAAAGCGTCCCATATTTTTGATCATGAAAAGTTTTAAGTAAAGTAAGACCTCAGGGGTTGCTATGCTGGAAAGCATTGTGTGCGGATTTGTTTAAAGCTACTGTTTAAGCAAGTGTTTTGCTGAGAGGCTCTGGAGAGAAAATTGCCTTTGGGATGAACACTAATAGGGTTTTCATCTCCACAAACGGCCTCTCCTCTAGCCCCCTCACCGTCTCATGCGATGTTCCTCAGGGCTCTGTCCTTCACCCCTCCTCTTCAACATCTATATGCTCCCTCTTGGTGATGTCATCCGCAGACATGGGGTCAACTTCCATATGTATGCGGATGACACCCTCTCTGGTACCTCTCTGATGGTACCTCTCTGCCTCCACCCTTGACTCCAGGACCCACTTCTGTCCTGACAGAATGTCTGTCAGACATCAAGCCCTGGATGAGAGCTAAGTTTCTCCAGTTGAACATCAACCAGACCGAGGCTCCTGATTGTCTCCCGTCAGCACCTCCTCACCTCAGGCGTTGACAGCATCACCATCCATGGCTCCTCACTCCACCTTGCTAAGCCAGTCCCAAACCTTGGGTCTTGTTTGACTAACCTTTCTACCCCAGATCTGTGTCATGACCCTCTCTTCCTTCCCCCACCTCCACAACATCACCTGGCTCCGCCACTGTCTCACACCGCAGGCCGCTGAAACCCTCATACACACCTTCATTACATCAAGGCTTGACTTTGCAAACTCCATGCTTGTCGGCCTCCCCAATTCCTCCCTCCACAGGCTGCAGATCATCCAGAACTCTGCAGCCTGTGTCCTCTCCTGCACCAAACTCCGTGGCCCCATCTTCCCCATTCTCACCCGACTCCACTCGCTTCCCATCACACAGAGGATACAATTCAAGATCCTGGTCCTCACCTTGGAGGATCCTCTATGGTCTTGCTCCCCCCTACCTCTGCGACCGCCTAATCCCCCACCATCCTGCTCGCTCCCTCCGCTCAGCGGGTTATGGCATGCTTCATGTCCCCCGCCTCGCTCGCCCCACTATTGGCAAACGGGCCTTCTGCCACTCTGCCCGCACCCTCTGGAACTCCATCCCGCAGTCCCTCCGCCTTGCCCTCTCCCTTGCCACCTTCAAGACCCATCTCAAGACCCTCTGCTTTCGATCTCGTTGCTCCCCCCCACCCACCTGGCCTACACCCTCCCCGACCCCCAGCTCAAGTCTGAAACTCTGTCTGTCCAGTGCCTTGGGATGTCCTCCCGACGTGAAAGGCACTATACAAATGTAATTTTGTTGTTGTATTATCTGGTTTAGGATTGCTATAATCATTGCTATCTTGAAAAGGGAAAAAAAAGGAAGGAAATGTTTTGTATAAACTGTAACTAATCCCATGTAATCCTAGTACAAGATGTAATATTCAAACATTTCAAAGAGCTTCATAATCGCTATCAAGTATTGGGAGCATATATTTGTTAGTTATTGCAAGGACCTACAAAAAGCCAGGAAGGAATGGCCAATTCACCTTAAGGATTTGTTGATCAGAGCACAAGGAAAAATTCCCTTCTCTTTTCTAATATTGTCACGGGATCTATAACCTCTACCTGAATAGATGTTTTAGATCTATTCGCCCGCCTCCATCCTTACCTTTGTGTAGTCCTGTAGCTCAGTGGTTAGAGCACTCGCTTTGCAAGTGAGAGACCTGAGTTCAATTCCAGGCAGAGGGCGAAACCTTGGGCAAGTTTCCTTACTCCACACATAATAATCCCTCCAAAACCAAAAACAATAATAAATTGGTCATTTTCAATCTACGACTGTGTGTAGGACATTGCTGTGCGCAATTGGCTGCCGCGTTCGCCCACAAATATAGTCAATTCACTTTACAGTGTGTTCTGTGAAGCGCTTTGGGCCGTCCTCCTGACGTGAAAAGCGCTATATCAAATGCAAGGATTATTATTATTATTACCTCGCAACCAACGCAGCCGAAACCCTTGTCCACTCCTTCATCAAGTCCCAGCTGGACTATTCCAATCCCCTACTCGCTGGTCTCCCCA